GAAAAACAACACTAGACTCAGTTGTTGAATATTTGTCAAAAAGGCTGCCGAAAAAAACCTGTAGTGTTCCCGGTAATAGGAATAAAATCACGAAAAGAAAATCATCCGTGATATGTAGAGAAAAGCAATGAAATAAAAAAATGTTACTCGTGTTGGAGAGCTTTTTTGATTTTCAATACCTACTCGAAAGTACCACATTGTCTGATCAAAACATCTCAACAAGTCTGTTTGCAGCGATTCATATAAAGTTACCCGCTTATGAGAGAATCCTCAATGGACGACACTTCTTTTGAAATGAATAAAAATCTTCAAAGACGACCTGAGTGTTTGAATATATTTTGCTGGATGACGCTATGTTTTTAAGCACTATGGCTGAAAATAACTTTCTTTTTCAGAGCAGAGACAAGTAAAATTGGTCGAATTTTATCTTCTGGTTCTTGAAGAGTTTATTTTAAAAAAAGTAATGGCAGATTTTATGAGAAGATGAAATGTTTCAGATCTATCTTGATACTGAATAAATATAATACTGTGAAGAAAATTAAGAAACATAACTTCGTTACTTAATAGAATACGACTATGTTACCTTACTCAACAATTTATATCTTTATATTTGTGTTCGTCTGGATTGATCATTTAAATACTCAATTACCTTGCGATATTGCAAAATTTCCTCATGGTCATGCTTGTCAATGTATCGATGATTATTGTGATACCATAACACCATTGGGTACTTTACCGTTTGGCCAAGCAGCACTATATGAAAGTACCTCTGAAAATGCTGGAACTCATCGATTAACTAGATTAACAAATTTATCATTTCGTAAAGAGATAGATCCAAATATATCTACCGTTATACAAATAAATGATAAAACGAAATATCAAACAATTATTGGTTTTGGTGGAGCGTTTACAGATGCATCCAGTATTGTAGCTCATGGTTTATCTGTTAATCTACAAAAGATATTATTAGCTCAATATTTTGGTGAACAAGGTATCAACTACAATATCGGACGTATTCCCATGGCCGGTTGTGACTTTAGTACGTATACATATACGTACGATTCCGTTGCAAATGATTTTGAATTACAACATTTTTCTATTGAAATGGATTTGTCAATCAAAATTCCATTTATTCAATCGGCTATTACAATGAGTAATGAGACCATTTATTTTTTTGGTTCGCCTTGGAATGGACCCGACTGGTTAAAAAATCAAAGTAATCCTGTAGGCACTTTAAATGGTGTTCCTGGTGATAAATATCATAAAACTTGGGCACGCTATTTTAGTAAATTTATTGAAGCCTATGAAGCTGAAGGAATTTCTATTTGGGGTATTACCACACAGAATGAGTACAGTCAAGTGAAAGATTTCGACGGATTATTTTATACAACGGAGCAATTAGCAGATTTTATTCGTATTGATTTAGGACCAGAATTACGGAGTAAACATCCATCAGTAAAAATCATGACTTATGATGATGATATGGTATTACTTTTCTTGAAAATTGATCGAATGATACAACGTAATCGAACAATTGATCAATATATTGATGGTATTGCTGTTCATTGGTATGCTACAGAAGACATGACTTTTCCTGATTTTTATGAATTATTTCTTACTAAATTAGAATATCCAGAATTTTTCTATCTTCCTACAGAAGCTTGTGAAGGATATATGAAAATCAATAAAGGACCAAGATTAGGCATGTGGAAACGTGGAATACATTATGCTCTATCGATTATTGGAGATTTACTTGTTGGAGCTTCCGGTTGGACAGATTGGAATATTGTCTTGGATTTACAAGGTGGACCCAATCATATTCGAAATTTTGTAGATTCACCAATCATTGCTAATACAAGCAGTGGAACAGTTTTCTATAAAAATCCGATGTATTATGCAATGGGACATTTTTCTAAATTTATTCCTCGTAATTCTATACGTTTAGGTATGAAGGTATTAAAACAAGAAAAACAACACGCTCGAATTGAACCATTGAAAATTGTTAGCTTCTTAACACCAATGAAGCAAATGGTGATTGTAGCTTTAAATCATGATCGAACAACGACACAAAGTGTACAAATTCTCGATTCTAATCAAGGTTATCTAACCTTAGCTCTATTGCCAGAATCAATACAGACAATTGTTTACGATGTAGCTTCGTAGTTGACTCATTTTTCTTAGAATATTCATTTTTAAATTCGTCTTGTCAATTTTGTAAACGACTTGTCTTCAAACTTTATATTAATGACTTTTCTACTGTTCACTTTTGATACTATCGAAAATGAAGAAAATCTATTGGATTCTAATCGACTCGAAGAAATCGACGCGATTTAGTGTTCTGTCACACTTGTTCTAAATGAATCAAAGATTTTGTGAATTGATTGAAGATTAGAAATAGATATTCAATCGAATAAATTCAAGGAATGGCTGTGGATGAAGAGAAGATACCCGCATCAACGACTCACTCTCTCATCTTCAAAATAGCGATCCACTCACATCTCATATTCACATTCTCGAGATTATGTAGAAAATTGATTAAAGTTAACGAATTTCGATATTTTTCATTTTATTCCAATTAGGAGAAAATAGTAACGTAGATTAGCTATTGTCTCATCTAGGCAAAGTAATACCTACACAATGAAAAATGTTTTGTATATGTCCTAGGCAAAATTGAACTTTAGGCAGAATTAAACTTAGGCAAAATTGATTTGTAGTTAGGCGTGAAATGAAGAAATTATTTTCTTTCATATAAAAATGAATTCAAGTTTTCATTTTGATTAAGAAAACAGAATGCACTTAGTTTTTTAATTAAAAAAACTTATTATGTTCATTTCTCACCGATTCATACTCTTTGGAAGTAGCCCAACACCAGATTCTGCTTCGTCTTCAGTGCCTTTTTATCCACAGCTTTGTAAATAAATCATAAAAATATTTCACGACAAACACGATCAATAACGTGAAATAAATTGCTAACCTGGCTTTATAACTAGTTGCATTATTTTTACATTAATATCTTAAAATCCTACTGTGTGTGGTGAACTGTAGGATTGAGTATCGATGTCTTTTTAGCATAATGTCGTCTTGCACAATCAAAACTGTCTTCTCTTCATTAAATTCAACTAATCTAGAAATAGTCACATATGAGGGAACAAAAAAAAGAAGGTCAGAAGTTCAGGAAGCTGTCATACAAGCAAAGTATAACGACTAATGACCGTTATCTTGGATAAGAGAAAGACTTATCTAGTAGATTTGTTGCAACCCATAAACGTCTTCACTACCCTATGCTCGAAAAAAATCAGTAGTGTGAATGGAATAGGTGATAAGTATCTAAATAGCTATGAAGATGTAGAAGTAGTTCTGCGAGATTGAATAGCCATTAAACACAATATGCGAAAACTAGAACTAAGCAACTACTGAAAATCGTTCTCTTCGTTCTTACTTAAAGCTATTCATATGGGAAAATTGTATCTCTTTTGAGAATGAACTATTTCTAAAAACAGACAGACTAACATATTTATTAAGTATTAATTTCCGAATTAATACCGTTGGTATTACATTATGAGAAGACATAAATTAAAGTCTTTCGTTAGTTTTTTGGATGCAATAGAACTCGGTTCAACATAATAACGTCATCTGTATTGTTTGCATATTATCTCTAACCGTACTGTATTCGAAGGGAAACAGTTAGGTATCAATGAGAATCGATGGCTGATTATAAAGAACGTCTTTTCTTTTTGGTCGGACTGGTTATGATCAACTCAATGGCAGTGGAATATATTAGCAAATTCTACATCTTCCCAAGCTTAGTTTAATTTCTATTGAATATAACTCGCGCACTCTGCATCTTCCTAGACTTAGTTTAATTTGTATGGAATACAACTTACAAACTCGATGTTCTGTTAAATTCTATAGTTACAAAAGTAAAAAAGTTTTCTTTAATTTTTTTAAAAATTATGTTAAAATAACTATATATTGATATTAATTTTTCTACGAAAACGTTATCATATAATATGATGCTTAGTGACTCGTTCGGAATAATGTTTGTGATGATCAAGAACAATGAATATCAATATGCAAAGAACGTATATCGTTCACAAAGATATTGGCTTGATAGTAAGTAGATGTAGCTACAAACTGATATTATCATTTCGTGGCTGTCTTTATTTTAACTAATGTCTTCCTCTTTTATGCATTCAAAATCTCAGAAAGCATCTAAAAGAACATTAGAAAAAGAGAAAGAGAGTATTGTATATCTATTTTACAAATGCATGCATGCATGCATTTAATAAATTACGCAAAAGCATTATAAAGTAATTCAACCTTCTGAGTTTGTAGATGAAGATGAAGAAAAAAGCTCTCATACATTCACTCTTACCCTTTCTTAACCATATCAATTTTGAACAAGCTCTACACAATTAATCGATCAAAACTTACTCTCGAATTAACATAATTATTGATCTATATATATATGAAACAGAAGTTTTGTTTGATATGGTCAGTATTAGGAAGCAAGAAAATAATCATCTCAACAATATAGTATTGTTAGGCATTTTTCAGAAATGATTGGTTTAGCAATGATTTTATCTTGTATAATATACTATCTCAACACGTCCCAAATCTATCTCGTTCGATTGATAAAAAATTGTGGATTGCTAGCTATTACCATTTCGGAGATATTCATCTTTACATCGACCTTATGCAAGCCTGTTGTCAACAATAAATAGAATAACATCTAAATTGCGTGATCATCTTCTTATTTATTATTCACTCAGTTTTTTATTTCGAGTGTCTAAATACATACATGTGCATCAATGTCTCATATTACAATTGAATATGTTATAAAGTGTCACATATTTTATTTGATTTTAATGTAAACTTACATTTTTACTTATCAATGACGTCAAATCGTAGAAATACTTTTACCAGTTAAATTTGAATTGAATGTGAAGAAATCAAGTTCAAATTTTCAACGATAGTCTTCAAAGTATACAATTATCTGTAGAAAAAAAACGATTTTAACAGAAATTCAGAAAAACTACGATCTTCGACCCAGATTCTATTTATAATTCGACACATCCAGTTGTTGATCTCAAAATGAAATGAAATGATTAAGTTCATTAATATGCCTAGAATTCCAAACAAACACTTGCATCTATTCATTGAAATACACATTTTCTTGGATCTTCATCTAATTTTGTTGAAGTTATTATACGAGGTAAACTTTCAATGTAAAATCATAGTTTATCATGTATAATTGAGTATTGATGGATGTAAAAGGGAATATACAAAAGACAACATAATTCGAGACTTCAAATAGGAAGAAAATTAGCAGTAATCTTGCTAAGACAATTATCTATTATTTTCAAAAAAAGTTTAAAAAACTAAATCTAATTTAAATAATACGCATTAATAAAAAGAACAGATTTTAATTTATATTAATAGCGAGAGTAGCGCCATCAGAAAAGAACATCGATAGGATTGGCTAGAAAATGACTATGATTTTTAGCAAATAGCAAAATATGCATGTATCCAACTCATTTTGTTGTTGTGACAAAAAAAATGAATGATTTCAGAGTACTTCTTCACTTTAATCACAGCGCCCTCACCCGCAACGTTGTGTTGTGCATGTAAATCACACCAATCAGTGTGCACATGTGATTAAAGTACAGAAGAACCGATTTCAGTTTTTATATCGGCAGAAATTTTAGTTTAGAAAGTCACGCCTCAGTAAATATCATCGGATTTTGTCAATGACACATCCTCTACTCCCATTAGTCAATCAGTTAAAGCTGTATTGCTATCAAAACTCGATGATATTCGATTTTATTTAGATTTTAATACTTCTTATACGATCCGTATACATTCAGTTCTTCGTATAATTCCATTTTATCAAAAATAACATGATCTTTTTCATGATGACTAACAACAATATTGGTAAATTGCTTTTGAATTTTTCATATGTTTTGTTCATAACAAAATATACATTTTAAGATTATTCTATTCTCATTGTCTTCGCAAATTAGTCGAATTAATATATGGCAATCGGAAAAGAAAACAATTTAAAAACCGAGCATTACCAATGAGGTCGTGGTACAAGATTCATGTTGAATATCCCTACTCTTTTTTTTTCTTACAAGACTCATTTGATATTTGGTTTTCTACAGATCTTCTCTTGCCATTTATTTGCAGTGAACGTGCATTGGCTTATGCTATGCAACTGAAAAGTACATATATGAATAAACTGTAAATAAGGAACTTTTCATATATTTAATTATAGAAAAAGCAAAGACAGAATCTCGAAAAAAAAAATTCATCGTTCAAATTCGTTCTCGTAAAATAGTCGAATATGCTGAACAACTTGAATTATGATATAATCAATGGCAGGCATGCAATGCTCGTATGAAAATTGAAGTTCAAGTTAAACTTCAATACACCAAATGTTTGCTTATCGAATTCTCATTTCTGCAGACATGCACAACTGTTATCAATGATCATTTAACATTTGAAATACAATCATAGACTCAAGCAATAAAATTTTTATATATATGCGCAGTAAGTTCATAGATGAATATCATGCGTAATAAAAACATGTTTGTTGCAATGATTAGAATCATTAATGATATTCTACAAATAGTTAGATCAATAAATCGATGATTTAGTAACGCATATTCGATTTTGTTGATGTAAAAGTCATGATAAAAATATTGCAAGAGAGTAATAAAAAAAAAATCTAAGAGCAAAAACAGTAAATGATGACTCAGAAATGACACGTATTCTTGATATTAGTTTATCTATTTTTTATTTGATTGAAAATATATATTATCAATGTAGTCTTCTAGACACTTCTCAATGACACATATCAACAACAAATATCATCAATGTCAAAAAATCACATAGCAACAAAATCAAATGCAAATAATCGTTTATTCTTCCTGAAATAACAAAAAATTGAAACAACATCAGTTTAAAAAACAAATTACGAAATCAGCTGATATTATATACATATATACGACTTATTACTGCAAGTAAATTATAATATACGTGCAATATCAGTTTTGTAGAAATGATAAAATAAGTCAATCGAATATTGCTTTTCAATTAACTGTTTATAAAACTTACAGATTTGATGAGTTTCTTTTTTTATTAAAGATAATCAGAGCTAAAGTCCATTGAGTCCAGAAATTTTTGAACCGGGATTCGATAAGCTCTAGCGAGGATGCGAAGAGGATTTGTCGTAAGATATAATCAAAGTTCTTCCAAATTGAAGAAACTTCTATCACGAAGTTCTAAAGCAGGATGGATTAGTCTATCTCATCACGTCGCACTTATTTATAATTATTGAATAAAGTAATTTTAGTTTTTTTGATTAATTGTTATTTTATTTATTCAACAAAAACGTTTTAAACAATCAGTTGAATTAATTAATAAAACGAAAATGTATATGGAACATACAAAAGTAAATAACAAACAATGCATAAGAAACAAAATCACGTGACATTAATTATGAAATGTAAACTGAAAAGAATTAATATAAAAATATTTTAGGCACTTTTAAATGAATTTTCTTTTATTCAATTAAAACTTGATGAAGTTAAATATCAAATTTAAACATCAGCTGACGACATTTCACCAAAATAATCATTCGTTAATGTTTTTTTACTTGATGAATAAATAGAATTCGGAAGAAAAGAAATGATGTCATCATAAAACGTAATACAAATTTCTTTGATACTTGGTTTTTTTTTAGCCATTCATCAATCGTCGTGATATTTATTTCGAAGATTCATCATTAAAAAATAAAAATCGTCTTAACATGGTTCTGTTGTCAACATTATTCAAAACCCATTTTCTTTGATTTAGCTCTAAATCATCTAATATTTATATTCTTAGATGATAACGTGTACAGTAAACGAATTATTTCAACAACATTAAAACTAATCTAATCGGTTTTGTTAAAGATTTATTTTCTTCGAATGGTAAAAAGTAATAGATTTGTGTTTATTGGAAAATAAATTAGTCATTTTATTATTGAACTCGATTAGCTAGTCAATCATTCTTCATTTTAGATGAATAATTCTTCTAATCGCTGTGTAAAGAAGCCGTTGCACAACATATTGCGTCGATTTTCGTCCATGTATAAGTTACGGAAGAGAATCAACAGTAATCAGGTAGAATCAAAATTTCATGCTCATGCTTAATGATATAATCAGAAAAAAGGTTGTAGTATGGGCTCAGTATCCTAACAATATCTCTAGAGGGGCTTCAGCTCCTATTTATGTGGATCTCAACTATTGATGGGGGCTAAGCTACTGCTGGTTTCTGTATAGTTAGGCTATTACTCTTTCAAACCATATATTCAGAATATTTTTCTTGCTTAAAATTAGTTCATTGCAAGTTAATATTTGACGGAGGGCAATGAAAACCCTGATTCTAGGTGATAACTTTTGATTCTCTCATTAGACAAATACTGACTAAACATATTGTGCAAAGACTTTTTTACACATCGGCTAGTACATAGAATCTTCAAAAACTAAAAACATAATATATTCTATTAACTTGAATATATTTATTTTAGATATAAAAAAAATTCCATGGCTGATTTAGATGATATTGGAATTGAAATAAATGATACCGATGAGCGATGTATTGATATTATTGAAAATTGTCCATCACCTCCACCACCATTCCATCGAGATAATATCCAACAAGAAATAATTATTCAACCACCTGTAATATTTAATGATCAAGAACAAAGGATTACTTTAAAAAATATTGTTCCATTTGATAATATTTTTTTTAATGATGCAAAAATTTATCTATTTGAAACAATGAAAAATAATTCATCAATATTAAATGAAACAAAGAAAAAATCAGATCAAAATTTCTTTCAACGTTTTATAAATTTTTTTCGTTCAGCCATAACTTCACATAATACATTAGAATTTAATCGACAATGTGAAGAATTACTTAATTTAACAACATATTCATGTAATATGTCTGATTGTATTCATATACGTATTTTATATACAATTTATCGTCGTTTAACAAATTCAAAAGAAATTTTTTATACTACACTTGGTCCACATTGGGAAGATATTGGTTTTCAAACATCAAATCCTGAAACAGATTTTCGTTCAACTGGTCTTTTTTCAATATTTTTTCTTCTTTATTTTGTTGATTCAATGTATTTACCATTAGCAAAACAAATTTATCAATTTTCACATGATGAACAACAACAATTTCCATTTTGTTGTGTTGGTATTAATTTAGCTAATATACTTATAAAATATCTTCGACGAACAATAGCTCGAATGAATGTAGAAAAATTAATTGATGAAAAACAAACAGATCATACAGCTATTGATTTATCTGGTAAATTATTTATTGCACTTTATTTAAATTTTTATTTAAAATGGAAAGATAATTTGTATACAATTGAATATACACAACAAGTATTTAATGAACTTGAACAATTAATAATGAATCGACCAAAAATTTTACTTGAAGAATTTGATAATTATTTTCAAAGAAAACAAACATGAAAAGTCACGACAATATGAATATAAACAAACAAATGAGAATGTTTTTTGAGAAATAAAATTTTTCAATATTTCTTTCTTTGTATTATAAGTTAATTAAAAATGAGTTTAAACTAATGGATTTAATTATTTTAGTCGAATCCGTCCATATTCATAGTTTCTTCGAAATTTATTTTCAGCTCAAAGTCCATTTTTTGTGATATGCGTATTGTTTGTTCGTTTTTCTTTTGTAATATTTATTATGAATCATTTGCACATATTTTCTTTTTAAGAAATAAAATAACATGACTTTATATGAATAGGAAATTATTTATTTTCATATTTTTAAGATAGAAATTATTTCATATAACTGATTATTACTTCCATTAAAATAATGATTCGAGATATAATTGGTCTTATTTTATCTATTTTTGTTGCTGGTGCAATGATTTGGGCTTGTAGTTTTGAAATTCAACATCTTATAATTGGTGAATTAGTAACATATAGTGGTGGAAAATATAAATTTTTAACAATAATAAATATAGTAAATAGAAACTAATATATTTGTTATTGATTTAACTAAGATTTATTTATTGTAAATTTAGCATATTCAAGCAATTTATTTTTGTTTATGTATAATTAATTTCTTTTTTGGTTCGAATACACTTGTAAAAGAAAAACGTTCATTATTACAAAAACTACGTGATTGTCTTTATGCTGGTATTGCTTTTCCAATGGGACTGGTAAGAAAAATTCTTTTTTTTTTTAATTTTCATACGATACATATTATCTCTTATTTAGTTTGTATCCATTACATTTTGGGGTTTATATAATCTTGATCGTAAATTAATCTATCCAGAAGAATTAGATCAATTCATTTCACCAATTCTTAATCATGTTTTGGTAAATATTTAAAATTATTCATCATTTTGTCGAACTCACATGATGTTTTTCAAAGAAAACTAGTGGGTGTAAATTTTAAGTCAAAGTTTTGACAGTTCCACATCTCTAGATCCTAGTTGCTGAGTCAAAGGTTATTGACTCTATTTCCATAGTAATTGAGGACAAATGAGCACTAGAATGGTCGTCAATAATTTCTTAGCAACGGAAGAAGACACTGAACGATATTAACAACAAGACTAAGACGGTTCTAGAATATTCTAGTCTTCATTGAATTTTCAATGACTAAAATATGTATTTTAAAGTTCTAAATAACATAGCTTCTGACTTTTATGTAGATAAACGATTACATTCAAGATATCAAGGATGATGAATTGATTTGCCACAGTTAACATATGATCAGTACAAAAAAACATGAACTAATCAAGTTGAAACTTTCAGAGATAATCAATATCAATGTTTCTCAACTTATCGATATACATGAAAGGAAGTTAGGACCTGCTGTAGATATAGTAAATCTGTATAACAAGCTTATTTATCAGTTAAGCCTAATAGTAAGCAGAATAACAATAATAAATTGCGAACAATAAAATAATAAAATAATAAAAAAGAAAACAAATTACGAGCGAATAGCAACAATACAAAGAAAAAAAAGAACGTCAATCAAAAGAAACACACAATTTCTATTCGTAACGTAGAAATCGAGGTATTTTCTATTAGTATAATGAAGCTAAAGAAGATATATGAGTGTGACATTTTTCGACCCAAATTGGCTACGCTAACAAGCTTTGTTACCTGATACAATGTGTTTTTTTTCTTAGCATACGTTACCGGCAATCGCTGTTTGCCTTGAAAATCTTGTTCATAACCATCATTATCCATCACGAGTATTAGGTCTTTCATGCAATGTAATTGTATGTGTTGCATATGCAGCATGGTAAGTAATTATTTTAATACTTTTTTTTGTTTTGTTATAAAGTTTTTGATTGTTATTTAGGATTCATTATTTGAATTATATTCATTGGGTTGAATTTAAACGAAGTCTTTGGGTTTATCCAATATTAGATGAATTATCATTTATATATCGTGAACTATTTTTACTTGGTTTGATATTATTCAATGTTGGATTATATTTCATCGGAGAGATGTATACATTATTTTTGACAAGTAAATATGATTTTTTTTTCATTGATTGGAAAAGTTTTTTGTATTTTGTTAATTTTAGATTTACAAACTGAAAAAAATGTACGAAAGAAGAAGATATCTTAGATTAACTTTCTTTAATATTATTTTTTATATTTTTGCTATTTGTAATTCTTAATTGATGTATTCAAATAAACTAGATTCCCCACTCTTTTTTTTCTTGGTATTGTCAATCTATTTTTGTTTACTAACTATGATAGATGCCTGTGCAAAAGATTGCTTATGCGCATCGATTTGGTATTATATCAACATCATATAAAGAAAAAATTGAAAAAGATATACGCCAACGACAACAACAAGAAAGTGATCGATCATCATCAGCATATAGTGGTGAACATGGCAAGTAAGTATTATTTACAATAGAATCATCAATTTCAATATATATTTTATTTTGTATTAGAAAATATTTAATACTCGAAGTAACTGAAGAATTTGTACGTGACTATAATCGAGCTTCATCCAGTGAACGAATTAAACTTAATGAACTTATTTATCGAATGTTACAACGACTTAAAGTAGATCAAAAAACAATAAATAAGATATCTAAAAATAATATCTATTTAGAGAAAAGCAGCACAATGTCAAGTGCATACAAATCGACCGATTCAATTACAAATGGCTTGGTATAGATGTTCTTCTAAATTATTATGATTGACAATTGTTTTGTTTTTGTTCTATAGGGCTGAACTTTGTTTGTTATCCCAATGTAAATCATGTTATCAAGAAGGTATATATGAAAATAGAAAATTGTTTTAATAATAAATAATTTTTTTAATTAGAATGTTTAACAACACTTTATCGAGCTTTGATTTATAGTCCATTGAGTGCAACTCAAATTCCAACATTATTTTTTCTCTCAGAAACGATTCTGTATTGGCTTAAAAATGATGCTATACTTGAACCATTTCTTACATCAACTGAATTGAAATTGTTAAAAGTAAGAGAAAGAAAAAAAAAACAATGGTTGTATTAAATGAAAAACATTTATATAGATTGGTCAAATCGTTTTTCAATTATTATATTTTCATTACTTAGAAGGTATATACAAAAAACAAATATTCTTTTTTTGCTTATTTTTCTTTCTTTAGGCTCAACTGGACCTTATGAAGAATTTAAAATTCGTCTTCATACATATTTAGAAGGTAGATCAATTATTTTTCTTCATTGAATATTATCATCGAATATAATTTTTTCAGGTCTTGACGAATGTGAATCTGCTTATTCTTCATATCCAAATGCTGTTTGGTGTATTCATTATATTGAATCGATTGGTTCTATTCTTGTTGCTAGTGTTGATAAAAATGTACTAAATTCACGACGTAGTATTTCATCAGCAGCAACTCATCCAGCACCACCAATTCCATCTGAAGATTATCATGAAATAAATAAATCTGAATTAAGTGCTGTTGTTCAAGAATTATCACCAATTATTTGGCATTCAGTTGATGTTTGGTTATTTGTTAAAAAATATTCAACAAATAATTTATCTGAAATTATGAATCATTATTTTAATGAAACAATTCTTTCATTAATTGCTTGTCGACATAAATTAATCGATGAAAATTGGTAGGAATTATTTTCATATTCAATATTAAATAAAGAAAATTAAAAAAAATATATATCAAAATATTGTTATTTATATATAGGATTGATGTTGTTTTGGCTTTACAAATATTATCAGATGTTGCAAAAACAAATATGGATATGTTAGAAACAATTCAATTATTGGCTCAACGTAAAAATAAAATTGTTTTTGAAAATAAAAATATCTTCTTGTTTTTTTTCTTTTACTTGTTTAGCTGAATCAACTGCTCAACTTCCATTACATAAACGTGCTGATTCTCATTTATTATCTCGTGGTTGGCGTTCATGGTCATGGCAATTAATTATTCTTTTATGTGAATGTCTTACATCAATATGTATTGGTACAAATCAAACTATAATTAAACGTACTGTTTTATTTGGTAATGAAACATCATCAGATAATATTCTTATTTATGCAAGTGATAATCAACATCCTATAAATGAACAAAAAACTTTTACAGAAAGTAGTACATCACGTGGAAATGATGATAATGTTTGTTTAATGCACATGATGCATTATCGAACAATAGATGAACAAGGAAAAATAAAAACTGATAATGATGATGATGATGATAATAATCAATCATGGCGTATTCGATATATGGGTCTTTTATGTATGTCACAAATATATAAACATTTACAAAATGAACCACGTCATAAAACATTAAGTAATTTACTTTGGATGTTTATACATGAATATGAAAAACGTGAAAAAGATGATCGAATACTTGAAGCACTTAAAGTTGGACGAGTAAAAAAAAACAAATACTGATATTCATTTTATTCTTTCGATTTTGAAATTGTCTTATTTTTGTTTCAATTTAGTTTGATGATGATATAATTCAAACATTAAAAACTGATATAATAGATAATCAATTAGGTACAATTTATAATAGTATGGCTCAACGTTTAGCTGATGGATTATTACCAGATCCAACACCATCTGAATTACGATCAGCAAAAGTAAAATTTAATAAAAAACCATCATTTAAAAAAAGTCAATATGTTACAACATCACAAAGTCGTGATCGATATCATCTTAGCATACCTTCTGTTCCACCCTCAAGGTTGAACTTTATTTTTTTAATTAAATATTGACTATTTATTTGATTTATTATTTTAGAGATGAGAAAAAGCCTATTCAAATAAAGCGGATTATTGAAAATAATATCAATGATGTATTTAAACGAAAAGAACACATATTACAAAATATCGTTGTTGATCAAGTTCGTTTTTTTTTCTCCTTGATCTTAATTATGAAATGGGTATTCGTTTAGCTGGTGTTTCCCATCATAAAAAGTGTTCCACAGTGTAATGTTACAACATCACTCGGTGGAACATTTTTAATGAGGGAGAACATCAGCTTTAATGTTACTCGTCAAACACCAGCTAAATGAATACTATGAAATGAAATTTTCTTAATTTAGTATCGTAAAGAACTTGAAGAGAAAAAAGATGAAACAATTGATGTTATCGAACAATTAGATTCAATGGTTGAACGAGCTATGGAAACTACAACATTAAATGAAAATTCATTATCAAGTGTTTTTACATTATCCAATAAGAAATTTATTGTTGATCCACTTCAAGAACGACGAGCATTGATAGAATCAATGGGTCTTAAATTGATTATAAATAAAAGTGATGAACAAGAATAATCTCATTTCATTCATTGATTGATTTTTCCTTTTATCGATATATTTTAATCTCAATCTTTTTTTTTTCTTATACGAATAAAATTTTCTTCCGTCCAATATTTTAAAGAGATGCATAAGTGGTTAGAGTGAATTCAATTGGTTTGACATTATCCAATGAAAAAGGACAGACACAAATATATATATATTGCTAATATTTGTTTTTTCGTACGCTCTTGACACCGGAACAACCTGATATTTTGAGCTTTTTTTAGATAATTTTCTTTAAAGATAGATATGTTGGCCCTTAGTGGTCGATGTTTATCTCTAAGTACACTTCCTCGTGCAAATGCATTAGCTATTATTCGTCAAGCATCATCATCACAATCAAATAAAAATCAACAAGAACCAGTTGCTGTTTCAACATCATCTAGTTCAGTTGAAGATTCAAGTCGTTCACCTATGAGTCAACGATCTTTACCTCCCGATGATGGCAAAGTTCGTATGTAATCATCATTAAATTTTTATTTTGTTTACTTCTAAGAATAAAATCATATTATTATTTTTTCTTTTTTTCATCTCAAAGGTTTTCCTAATCCATGGGATGTTATTCTTAATAAACGTCGTTTTGAATATGCTATGGTTTGTAAATAAATCATAAATTATTATTAATACAAAAACAATACTTTTCTTTATAGAAATTCAAAGGATACGATGATCCATTTGATATGATGCCAGTTAAACGTATTGAAAATAGTACAGCTGAAAATCCAAATTTATTACCAAGTTGTAATGATAAACGACTTATGGCTTGTATTTGTAAGTTTATATTATCATCTTGATATATTAGAAAAAAAGAATCTTTGTTTTTTTAAAAAGGTAATGAAGATGTCTATCACTTGAAATGGATGCATCTTCATCGTGGTGAACCAAAACGATGTTATTGTGGTATGAAATTATTTCTTTATTTTATATATAATTTAAGTAATTAATTTTATTTATAGGTCATTGGTTCAAATTAACTGAAAGACAATTTGTTGATTTAAGTGATTTTGGTATTACAGAAGAAATGCAAAAACCAGCTGCTCATTAAAACTTGTCCTAATTTTTTTTGTCTCTTAAATTAGACCATTGTAGTTCTTGTCTCTTATACTTTTTTGATTTCCATTGGTCTTTTTTTTTTCGTCTATCATCATCTAATTGACGCCACAGCAAACGAAAAACAAAGAATAAAATAATTATTATTATTATTATTATTCTTTGTTTGTTCCAGATATGTCTGATTATCAATTAAATAATGAAGACCATGAGGCTTTAGAAAAATTTACGAAATTTTTCTTAGTTAAAGCAGCACAAATTATTGTACAGTCACGTTTAGGTGACAAGAAAATAACAAAATCTAAAGCTGTTTGTTCTGGAAATGAATGGGTAAATTTATAAATGAATGTATTTTTTAAAAATCAAAATCTTTCTTGTTTTTTTTTTGTTTTAGTTTCATCTTTCAATCAAAGACATTCCAGAAGTAACTGTCAATGCCAAAAAATGTTTAGCCGATGCTCAACATCTTCTTATTAATCCTCCTCATCGTCCATTTTGTGTTGAAATATCATTACGTACACCAGATTTTCAAACAATTACATTAGAAACATGGTGTATATCATTTGATGATTCAATATCAGATCCATCACAACGTGTTCGTTTTAATATTTATAATCGTATGAGTATTGTTCTTCGATCTTTACTTACTTGTACACGTGCAACACCAACATATCAATTATCACGTAAACAATCAGCTGATAAATATATTATTTGTTATAAAATGTATAGTGGAGAACCAATAGTTAGTCATCTTGGTGAACATTATTCGAAAAAAACAATTGGAAATATTATAACACCTATTGGACGTTTTGTATTAAATGTTGCTTATCGAACACGTTTAACAATGTCATCAACACCAGTCGATAATGGAACAGTTCCGTGTTTTACACAATTTGGTATTGATATTAGAGATGATCATTTTTCATTAGGAAAAAATCAACATTGTCTTGAAGAGTAAGATTTAAAAAAGAAAAGAAACTTTTAAAATATTATTTATTTAAAAACAAAAAAAAAAATCTTCTAGAGATAATGATGCTCAATTACCATCCATAGAAAGTTCAAGTATACCAAAAAGTTCACCTATTGAAGTAATGAAACGAAGACAGATGAGTTCAGAATCTATTTCATCCAGTCATGGGTAAATTTCATTGAAAAAAATAAATTTTTCATTTATTTTTTTACTTTTAAGAACACCAGACAAAGTTTATTATAGTAAATTACGTGCTGCATTTACAACGCCTAGTAACATTGCACATTCTTCATCACATATAGGTTTATATTCTCGTACGAGTGATAATGATTTACCATATGCACTTATGATGCAACAACAACAACCACAATCAATGGAACAAGAACAAAATTCTAAAAATAATTTTTATCTAAGTGGTGATTTCGATAATGAAACAGCACCTGATGATTTTATTCTTGTTGAAGTAAAACCATTTTTTGGTAAAAGTGATTCAACAGATGATTTAGCTTTATTTATTCGTTCATGTCAACAACCACCAATGCTTGAATCATTTGTTATTGAACCATCACTTGGTGAAACAATAAATCAGTTAACAGAAGAATTACGTGTATTTGAATCTAAAGTTGAAGAATTTGATCAACTTGTTACTACATTATCAACGACAGAATAATGGAAAAATATATTTATTTAGAAGTTTCACATTACAATTTAAAAGTGCTTTCGAACAATTTATCTTCTCTGTTTTTCTTTTGTACAGCGGAATAGAAAAAAAAAATAATAATCTAAATGTAAATAAAATTCTTCATTTTCCTGTTTTTTTTGTATGCTGATTCATTTGAACGAGTATTTAAAAAACAACACGCAACATATGATAACGATTGGCAATTATTTATTTATACTGTTTTATTTGTCTTATGTTAAAATTGTTACCCTAGCAAATTCTATAGATTTGCTCAATGTAATATTTCTTTTTTTTTCTTTCTTTCTTTCTTTCTTTCTTTACAAATAATTTTTATTTAATTTAATATTATTCTACATTTATATTGAAAACAATATATAATAGTATACGAGAATAATATGAACAATTTTATTGAATTCTTTGAGTAGTAACGTATTTTATCAAATACGGTTATGTTTTTGTTTTTGATTAACTCGCGAATGTAAAATGATATCGAGATGAAATGATACAGTTTTGTTTGTTGATGTCAAATGTGTTATTAATTTTCCTTGTAAATATATGAGAAATAAATAAGATGCAAAATAAATGGCATAACTTGATATTAGGATTATGACAATCATTAACTATAAAAAAGATATGATAGAATGGGCAACTCTTGTCTCTTTATATATATTTCAATAGGTTGTGTGTTCTTATTTTCAATGAATTTCTCGAATCATATACACTAATTAACTGTCATACTTGACGTTAATAATCTAAAGATATTTTAGACTATTTGGTACAATTTTCTAGTAAAAATAATATTTCTTCTCTGAATTATGAACTTTTTTAGAAGAAAATCTCAAACTTCAAAGGTAACTTTCGATAGTACAATAGCTGTAGTTCAGTAACTATCAGGAGCTAATACTTTCAATTCTTATCGTAGATAGAAGCAGAATACGTCACCTTTCGGCTAATATGTTCTATAGAGTGTTTCTTACAGACAATTTCGTTAGTTGAATATTCTTTCGACAACTAGTACTAGTTGTAGCTCTAGACAGAAGTAGAATCGATGAGAGTCACAACATAATCCGAGACAAATAGTCATTAATGACTTGTCTAGAGTTATTTCTTAGCTCGTAGCACCAAGGCTTAAACACAGTACTTTGCAGCACTTGTGAAACAGCTTAACTACAAGATTATAACGACATCATACATAGAAGAAAGTCAGAGGTAAATTTAAATAAAAAAAAGAAAAAGTTTTCATCTTTCTTATGCCATGAGTTATTAGCATATTATTACTTAGGAAATGAAATGCCTATATATCGCGAACTATACAAGAAAAGAAGACTTAAACTTATTGGATGATCAGAATTCGGTAATAACATTAATCATACAAATTTAAAAGTCCTCTCGCTATCATGATCGAGCAATAATATTCAAAGTGTTAAGTCGTTAACAAGAGCAATAAATCAAATAATTGAAGAATTGTAAATAATTACTTACACATCGCTCGTCTGTTCCCGCTACTACCAGTATACCGATAGTAGATTGACAGTCTGAGGATAGCTAAATGTGTAAATATCAAATTACTGCCGATATAGCGCACATTATACTGATCGATCTACCGATGATTTTTGTCCAGTTCGAATTAAATTGGTACTTCAATGATAGAAGTAGCTTTCAGATTGAATAAACTTCGCTATTCATCTTCCTATCGAATGGAAGAGATTATGATGAAGACTGATTGTTTGTGTTTCTAATTCTATTTTAATCTAGTTTAATACATGTTCTATGTGATGAAATGATAAATTCAATGATTTAAATAAATCTCAATAGATTTTCAATGATCGAGTACAAACAATTAAGTGACGATAGCAAAAAGTATCAAATAAATTTTTCATTAACTAAAACTATATGTAAAATACTAAATTTGTTTTCTTTCAAATGACAATACAATTATTTATTGATACATGACATATTGATTTTTCAAAAGCAAAAGGAAATTAAAATCATACACAAACAAAAAAAAAAGGAAATTTATCCATTTCGTCTTAAAATTGGTTCACGTACAAAGAAAATAATTGATGCAGCAATCATACTAATAAGATAAAATATAAAACAAATTCGATCAACAATAATAGCTAAAATTTTCCATTCTTCATATATATCATGTAAAGCTTGTGTATGAATATTTTGTTTTTTTGCATGTATGGTTAAAAGTAATCGTTGACATTCAAGAATTTCATGTAAAATAGATATTTTTAAATTTTCATCATCAATTTTACTTGGATCAAAATGTGTTTGCATTTTAAGTAATATTTGTTCAATATTATCTGTTATTGAATGTTGCTGAAGTGCTTCATGTGTTAATTCTTCATTAGGATTATTTATTGATGTTGTTGTTGGTTTTATCATAAAAAATTTTAATTTCGTATCATTTGGCTTACGGTTAACATCACCATTTGTATTATTTTGATAAATTATAGATTTTGTTGAAGAAATTAATTGTTCACGATCAAGATAATAAAAACCAAGCCAACGACCAATTTTACCCATGACTATATGACGACACCAATGAGGTACACGAGATTTTTTAGGTCCACGATAATGAAAATTAAGAACAACAACAGTAAGAACAACAGAAATAAGTACTAAGATAAGATTAACATTAAAATAAATACCTAGAAAAGAAATTAATTGAGAACAAATGGAATGCTCAATATTATATACAAATTATTGGTAAATAAATCAAACTATCAGTATAAAATTTAGTGTACGATAACTATAGTTTTTAAGCAAATTATTAACTTGTGAGTGTGGGATGCAGGTTCTACTCTAAGGAATACTGACAACGACATCCACATAACACCCGTAAATACTGACGAAGGAAGTATCTGAAGTGTTCCCTCAACTTAGAGCTCATATTTTTGCCCACAAATAGACCTCAATATCAATAGTTAATGCCTAAAACGATTCGTATTTATGAATTGTTGAAACTGACTTATGATCATTTCACTAGATTTTTTATTTCAGGCAAGGCATTCATGAAAAAATCAAATACTGGTATTTTGACTTCAAATTTGACTCATAAAGAAGTCTCATGGTTATTAAAATGTTCTAAAAATTTCAGACAAAATGGATTCTTTATCCTTGAGATACTGAACTTTCTGACTTTTTTGTGACACATGATCATTCTTTAGCTATCCAATATCTTAAGGATAAAGCAACCGTTTTTATTGAAATTTTTAGAACATTCTAATAATCATGAAACTCCTTTATGGGCAAAATTTCAGGTCAAAATATCAATGTTTGATTTCTCTATGAATGTCTTGTCTGAAATAAAAAATCCAATGAAATGGTCATAAGTCAGCTTCAACAGCTCATAGGCACGAATCTTTTTAGGCTTTAACTATTGACATTGAGATCTACTTGTGGGGAAAATATGAACTCTAAATCGAAGGAACATTTCGGGTACTTTCCTCGTGAGTCTTTTTAAATTAATTACTGAGCTTTTCAAACTATTTACTATGTTAGAACTAATTGTTTTGCTCACGAGGAGGGAACCCATCCAACCAATGATCTCAATTTGAGCTCATGTTTTGCCCATAGGTAGAACTCATAGTTTAGATGAAAACTCTGAAAGGGTTCATGCCATTAGACCTTTCTTCTCGAGTTAAGATCATTTTACTGAACTTTCAGTCTATTTTCGGATATCACAAGAAAAATCATAATAAGGAATTTTGCTATGAAATTCTTTCTAATAATAGCTCTTGTGGTTCTTATGATGTCCTGAAAGTTTCAGTTCAAACATGCTGTCCTTGTGAGATAACACGCTTGGAAAAAAAACGATACTTTCACACAAGAGCTTCAATAATAGTCTAGTCTTTAGGTACATGATATCTGAAGAAGAAATCATTCGTTTGAACTGAAACTTTCAAGATATCATAAGGACCATGAAAGTTATTGTTGGGAAGAGCTTCAGAGTAAAATCCTTGGTTGCAATTTTTCTCGTGAGTTCAATAAAATGACCATAACTCAGGAAGACAGATCTAATGGGACGATTCATCTATATTATGAGTCATACCTATGAGCTCAAACGAAGACTATCAGTTGGGTAAGTTTACTTGTGTAAGCAAAAATTATTGAACAATTAAATGCACGTCATTTGTAATCATTAAATAGCTTAACTTACCAATAATAGGAAGATTAGACGAAGCTTTCGGTGTATAATTTGATATAAGTTGAAGAAAAACTGTTAATGCAAGAAGAATAGTTATTGTTAATGTAATTTTTTCACCTGAATCAGGTGGAAGCCAAAAAACAAATAATGTTAAACAAGATAATATTGAAAATGGAAATATCATATGATTAACATAAAATTGATAATTACGTTTCATATTTATATGAAATACAAGCCACAAATAACGATTTGTTGTAGCATTTCGTACAACTATTTCATAAACTTGCCATTCAGTACGAATATATTGATTTTGTTGGCGTAAATTTTGTGGTTGATGACGAACTAATAATTCATTTGATGGACGTGACCATGATTGTATTTCAAGTGTACAATTTTGTTTATCTAATAAGAGAAAAAAAAAACAACAAAAATTTCGATTAATAGAAATTTAAGATGTTTTGTTTTTTGTTTTTTTTTTTGTTTATACCAAATGGAAAATAAGTAATAACAACATCACAATACGATCGAAATACATCAGGAAAAACCCATTCAACTGTTCCATTCCAATGAACAGTTAATAAATAATGTTCACGTTGTTGAGAATAAGCAACTTCAGCTGAATTAAATAAAACAATATCAGGTGTCCAGATTTCACCAACAGAAAAAACTGTACGATGTTGATCATTATATTCACTTGGTAACCATTGTAAATGTTCATCTTGCCATTTTAATGTTACTTGAACATTAGTTGTCATTACTTGATTTTGTTCATCCTAAAATAATAAAAAAAAACAAGAAATCTATTCAAAACAAAATAATTTACTTACTAAACCCATAACTTGAATAATAGTCAGACCAACATCAACTATTGTTACAGTTGTTGTATTTACTACTGGTCGAGCTTCACGAACATAACGCTCGAGTAATGTTGAACGTAAACGAGATTCATCTGAATTAAATTGTTGTCCTAAATTGAAAGATAAAATTTAAAATACGAAAAAAAACTTCACATTTTTATAATTGATTAGTTTGGAAATAATTATAATAAAGTATATTGTGTAATAATTGTGTAAATCAGTCAGATAAGTCGCTATATTGAAGATACATAAAGAGTCACTTCACATTTTCTTTCTTAAGGTCCAATATTACAGTCTATTTTCATATAGTCATATCCTTTTGAATCTTTTTATAATTATCATTGATATTTGCATCGATTTATATTATTAAACATAACATGATCTGTTGACTAACAAAAACAACAAAAAAACTTGTTAGCACAGTCATTTTGAAATTAACATGCAGAATTCACATATATTCTTTAGCTTCATTATACTAATATAGAATACATCAAGTGAAGAATTCCTAAAAACTGATTTGTTGTTTGCCAAGAATAATCAATCGATAGAAAAAAAAAATGATCTATCTTATTTATTTTTGTATTTTGAACAGAAGTTTTTCTTTTCCTTGTTACTATTCATTTGTTATCTATTTTCTTTTGTTATGCATCATTTTTCTTAACTTAATATTATTATTCTAACCATTGATTTAAATGACAAATAAGTCTGTTGTACATGTCTTTTATATCAACAGTAGATCTCAACACATTATTATGCATCTCGATAGACTTAGAAGCATTACTATTAATTATTCCTTAGAATTAAGATTGGATTAGTTCATATTATCTATGTTGATCATATAATAACTGTTGCAAATCACAATACATCATTATCCATTATCTTGCACATCTATCATATAATTGTTAATCTGTGCAAAAAAAATCAAAAAATTGCGCTACTTAGAACATTCACAAACGTATTTCAGCTATTTAAATTTCAAAGAAGAGTTTAAATTTAGGATTTGTTGTTAATACTGTTCGGGGACTTTTTCCTACTGGTAAGAATTTATAGAAAAAAAAACGTCTGGTGTATGTTGTCATTGGTTGGTAGAGAAAATATACTTATTGATCTCTGAGCATTCTTCTTCGATTGCTAAGACTAAAAAACTTTGACTTAGAAATGATGCTCATTATTTTCTTTCCAAAAAATATTTATGACTTGCACAAAACAAGCGATAATTTGATTATTACACCGAAAAGCTTTTCGATAATATAATAAGACTCATTCAATAAGAAAAATTCAAATGTTAAACTTACTTCTATCATCTACATCTAGATCATCGTCATATCCAATTTTCTTAGTTCGTCCAATTCCACCTTTGGCTTTTTCTATTTTTGGACTTTTAATTTTAATAGAACTAGTAGCTAAAGCTGATGTGCCTGATGATAAATGAGCACGAGAATAAAATATATAATGTACAAGAATTAATAATAATAATTGAAGTGAAATATTGAAGTGCATTGGTTTTCAAATAATAAATTTCATATAATGTCACAATTTCATTTCAATGATGTTCAATAAGTGTTAATCTATTGATGTTCTCTATCAATTATTGTAGTTTTATCATCTATCATTCACATTCTCTCGTATTGAACTAGAGATAGAAAAGAAAACGTTACTGAAATCTATCAATGGTTGTAGAATATATGAATGATTCGAGTTCATGAAGAAAAAAAATAAATAGATAGATAGAAGAAGAAGAAAGAGAGAGAGAGAAAAGTTAATTTAGTCCTCGACACTCAATTTTTCTACTTGTTGTTGTGTCTCCGTTCTCGATTCCTAGTACTATATCATGTGTGTGACAGAAAAGAAAATGATGATAATCATGATGATGACAGCATAGCGAAAAAATGGAAAAAATTCTCTTTAGTTGGAGTCTAAGACCAAGATAGAGAATAAAACTAAAAAAGAAATAGAACAGAACAGATCGAGTTAGTGAACGTTTTCGATCATTTGATGTGATAAATTGGAAAGAAACATTTATATTTAAAGGAGGGAAAAAAAGGACAAATTATTTTGATAAGTATATTAACATCTGTTCATTGATGACCTCATACTATTTTCAAAGATTTTACTTCAAAAAAAAAAAAAAAGAGAATAATTTTTTTCATTGGTGTTAGAAGAGTTTTATTATATATTCGTTGACCAGTTCGGATCGTTGATTGAATTAGCAATATTATTTGTCAAACTGGATTAAGTCATTTTTTATATGAATTATATGATTTTTTTATTATGCAAAGAAAAAAAGTTGAGCAAACCATAAGCGCTTTAAAATCTAATGGATATAAAGTATTTGTTCAGGAATTTATGAATGAATTAACAAAATAAAATACTCAATGTAACCATTTGTCACTTTAAATAATAAAAATAATCAAGAGCGAAGATGTCTGTTTCATTTTATTACTTTATTTTCTGTGAAAAATGTTCAACAACAAAAGAAAACAAGCAAATTGACAAAACACAGCAAATATGGCTGAAACAAAACAACAAAAATGCGAGAGAAAAAAAAGAAAACCAATGAGAAGTTCTCTATAAATAACATTTATGTAGTTCGTTCTACTGAGGTTTCTTCATTTTGAATTTCTGAAGATTTTTGTTGTTCAATATTATTTGTTGATGATGATTCATAAACAACAATTGCAATTTCCATTTGATTACAATTATTTACTATAGTTGAATTAATTGGTACTTTAGATTCAAGTTTAGCAAGAACTGTTTGTACATTGCGTATCATTTCTTTACGTTTTTCTTTTATATCAATACTAACATCAATTAATTCATCACAACGTATCATCATTTTTAATGCTTCTTCATCAAGTTCTTTATATATACGATCATCACGTGTTGCACCATTGAATGCATCAACTTGTTGATTTAAATTAATTAAATTTTGTTTGATTTGTTCAAGTTTTTCTAAAGCAATTGTATTGGAATCACGTATAGGAGGAGTTGAAGAAATATTTGTTGATACAGGTGTATCATTCGATGGAACTTGTTGATCATTCGATAATGATGATGGTACTGTAGTTTGTCCTGCCATTTGACTAGTGGCATCTTTCGTTACTTTAAAATCGGATTCTTGTGGTTGTTTGAATGCTGATGGTGAGGGACGAATTGGTGATTCATCACGTTGAGAAGCTGGTGAACGTGAACGATCATGTGCTATATAAAGTAAACAAAAAAAAAACATAAATAGAAAAATTAGTTGATATAAATTTAGAATTAAAATTCTTTTTTTTTGTTATTTTTCTTAAATTAATCAAACCTTTTCTTTTTCTTGAAGTACTATTTGATAAACCCATTTCTTTTAACTGTTGATTTTGATTTGTAAACATTTATATATATTTAACAGTCATGTTTTGTGAGTATCTGCCTCGAAGATGGAGCACTATTATATGCAAAAATGTTCTTGCATTAGCCGTTTTCTTTTTTTTTTTTCTCTTGCCGTTCTTTCTCTCATTCTTCGCTGGCTTTTTTTTTCTTGTTCTGCTATACCTCTCTGACTAATAAAGTAATGACACTTTCTCGTCTGCATGTATATAAGATATATTTTGTAAACATAAGTCTTGGCCTTCTATGTCATCTACCTGAACGTGATGATTGATATTGAGATGTATAGTAAAGATAATGTTTGTCTAGATTTTCTCCGGAAATTTTCGACAACCATGGTCGTACTCGTGTTGTTTGTTGAGAAAGAGTTAAAGTATTTGTTGATAATGATTTTTGTAATGAAGAAATTTTATTCTCTTGAAAATTAGAGGAAGAATATCTATTTCTTCTAGTTTTTGAAAAAATTAAACGATTATTCATGTAAAAGTAAAAGTGAACTATGTATATATATATATATATATATATTAAGCGCGTATTATAAAATTAACTTACAACTATTAATTATTTCTTGAATTATTGGTATATGATGTTCAGTTGAATAAACAACATTTGGATTAATAGTCGTTTCAGTAACATAAGTTGGTCGATAATAAGATTGTTGTTCGGATGGATATTGTTGATTTATTGAAAATTTTTTATTTGTATTTGGAATATCATTAAGTACATCATATGATCGTCGAAGAGAATTTGTATATTTGTTTGGTTGCATAAAATCTGAATCATGTTGAAATCCATTATTATTAAATATTGATGAATAATGTGAAATATTTTTTGATTGAATATTTGAATTTATAGAATCATTTGGTAATGAAAGAAGATCTTCACTTGAACGACTTATATGTAAAGAATTTGGTTCATATGTTCGATGTTGAAAATGATGATATTGTGGTTCTTGATATATTTCATGAAAAAATGGATCTTTATATGGTTGATTCAATTGAGAATTATTTATTAAACGATCATATGCAGTAGTTAAAGTTTGACGTGGTCGTAAACGACCTTTGGAATACGTATTTATCGATGATTTTTTCCATGGTGGAGATTTTGAAAAATCATTATAAGAATTATCATGATGAATTGTACGAAATGAAGAATGATGAGAATTTGTATTAGTTGAATTTGATGTAGGAACTATTTCAATTGGAATTGTGATAAACTTCAAAACAAAACAAAAAAACATAAGTAAATAATTATAATTTTATTCTAATCAAATGCTTACTCCAGTTGGACGTCCAGAAGTATTTAGTGAAGACATTGCTTGATATTGATAATTTATTGAGATAGTGTATTCCAATGTGAGAAAAGAGAATATATAATCTATAATAAGATGTTGATGATATCTATTTTTTATAGGTATACGCAGAGTACTAATAACTCAAAAATATATTCTATCGAGTAAACTGATGTGCGTGATATTAATATATAAGGGAGCGATAAAGAGGGAAATATAGGAGTTTGTCGTTCTTTTACTTTTTTTTTCTGCTAATGCCTCTTCATTTCGTGATTTTCGAAATTTAGTGTTTTTTCCTAACTCCCTTTTATACATTCCAATCGAATGCGTCAATAGATGAAAAATAAACGCGTTCTATGGTTGAAGTTATCAGACATCATATAAAATGACGTCATGAAGTGCAATAAAAAAAATATGAGTTTTTGTTTTGCTATTTTATAAAAACATTGACTCATTCCGTATTTCTTCATTTTTTACGTACGAAACAAAAAACATTGAACTAACTACGCAAATTATGATTGTTACCTTGTTAGAATAAATTCTAATATTTACACACATATAATTGAAATTTTTTGAATTCCATTCTCGTATTTTTTTTTACTGAAAAATTATACGAAACAACAAAAAAAAAAGAATTACTGTGTGAATCAATACAAACTCTTTGCATTACTTAGGTCATCTTATCAATAATGTTGTATACATAATATAAGTGTTCCTTCTTGAAACATAACAGTCATCTAATACAATAAGAATGTTGATGTTCAATGTTCTTAACCAGTCATTTCCATTATCTCATTTATTGATGCAGACAGAAAAAAGAATATCCATTAAATCTTTGCAACAAACTTTTACCTTCTGATTGTGTATTTATGTGATGTAATACAAAACTCAATGTATATGTATATATACATATATATATATATACATCTATATTTATTCAGCGAAATAATCAGACTTTTTTCTCTTATACTATTCGAATAGTAATCAAGTTTTATTTTCTCTTTTTTTAGACCCATGTATCCATTATTACATCTTGCACGTAAGTTGTTTTTTTTTATCGTATTTATAAATACAAGGATAAGTATTTTTTTTCGCTCTCGACCTATACATTGTTATTACTCTCGTTTTTTTTAGTTCTAAGTTAACGTGACACCTGTCTTTATGTTTTCATCATCAATAACAAATATATCGATTTACTTTCAAAAGTATATTCTAGGGTCATAGCAAAAAAATATTGACAAAAAACAAAATATATATTGATATAAGAACGAAAGTGCATTATGATTTACATAATTCCATTATAAGATGTATAGGTATTCCATTTATTTTGTTTTATTCTTTTTTTTTATCTATCAATCGATATTACAATCCAACAAAAAACGCAATGCAATATCAACATAATAGACATCTTTTGTTATTTGGTACAATTTTTTTTTCTTTTTATTCATTTGCTGAATGATTCGATCCTCTTGAGAGATCAAGAACAAGTATAGAATGACACAAAAAAAAAAAGAGCAAGATAAATCTCGTTTAACATATTACCTAAATACAACAGTGAAAAAAAAGACATCGGTAAAAATGTAATAGATTGAAATGAATAAACTAAACAGATGCACGCTTTTATGGATTTATCTTTCATCCTTCAAGTAATACTTTGACTTCATCAGCTGAAAGTGTTTCAAAACTAAGTAATGCTTCAGCAAGAATTTTAAGTTCATGTGCATGTTGTTTCAATAATGCTTTTGCACGATCATATGATTCCTATTATCAAAAAAAAAGTTAAAATAATTTTGATTAAAACAAAAAATAATAATAATAAAAATTTTACCTGCATGAGACGTTTTATTTCTAAATCAATCATTTCTTGCATTGATGGACTTATATCATTAACACGAACAAAACCTAAACCAGCATCTTGTTCTTCTTCTCGAAATGATCTTGTACCAACTTTCTCTGACATACCAAATTGTTTAACCTATTTTAACAAAAAAAATTATATGTTAAAAGCTTGTCAGCGTACTCGTTTCGGAGCTGAAATGTAGAACTGATATGTGTCCTTTAGCTTTATTATACTAATACAAAATATGTTAAGTGAAAAATCTCTAGTATACTACAGTTATTTTCCAAGGATAATCGATTGTGAGGGAAATGATCTATCTTATTTATTTCTACATCTCGAACAGAAACTTGTTTTTTTTACTGGCATTCTATTTTTTGATTGCTTTGTTGTTTTTCATTTTCATATTCCGTTTTTCTTAAATTGTACAATGTTACTATTCTAATCATTGATTTAACTGACAAATAAGTCTATTGTACATATTCATTATATCTATGGCATGTCTCAACGTACTATTATATATCTCGATAAGATCATCAATACTGATATCGATCATTTCCTAGAGTTATAACGTGATAAGTTCACGTTTTCTATGTTGATCATATGACGATTGTGGTAAATCAATGCATCATCGTCATCCATCATTCTTGGTATCTTGAATATAATTATTTATCTGAGCTATTTAGAACATTCACAAACGTATTCTAGCTATGTAATTTTCAAGGAAGGCTTTGAAATGTTTTAGAACCGTCTAAGACTTGTTGCAAACGCCATTTTCCGTTGGTGAAAAACTATAGGAAAAAATTTTGGTATTTCTCGTCCTCGATGACTACAGAAACTTACTTAATAACCGTTGGCCTTTTTTCTTCCCCCCTCCCCCCCCCCCCCCCCCCCCCCGTTATTAAGGAAAAAAATAATTGGCCTCTAATCTTCGACCCTCGTTGCTATGAGAGAAGGAGCTGCAGAGCCTCGACTTAAAGCATACACACAATATTTTTCTTTGAACAACATAGTATAAGTTTCACAAATACAAAAAAAAGAAACAAAATAGAAGAAGCATTGAATTACCATATTTGTCGCAAGTTTAGTTGCTTGATTGAAGTCGCTTGCTGCACCGGTAGTTATTTTATCCGTACCAAATATTTGTTCTTCAGCAGCACGTCCAGCCATCATAACATCCATTTCAGCTAATAATTGAGATCTTGTTCGATTATATGTTTCTTTCAATGGAATATGTGCTGTAAAACCAAGTGCTTGTCCACGTGGTATTATTGTTACTTTATGTAATGGATCAGCATCATTAGTGAAATATCGAACTATAGTATGACCTGCTTCATGATAAGCTGTTATATTATTTGTTTCATGATCAGGTATTTTAGATTTTTTAGCTGGACCCATTAGAATTTTATCACGAGCATGTTCAAGATGTTTCATATTTACTGCTGATGCATCGATTTGAGCAGCATAAAGTGCAGCCTAAACAAAAAAAAAACGTATATTATTATTCGATTTTTTCTTTTTTATTGTAGAAACATACTTGATTAACCATATTTTCAATATCAGCTCCCGTAAATCCAGTTGTACCTTTTGCTAAATATTCCATATCAACATTTCGATCATATGTAACTTTAGAAAGATAAAGTTCAAATATTTCTTTTCGACCACGAAGATCAGGTGGTGATATATGTATTTCTGAATCAAAACGACCTGGTCGTAAAAGTGCTGAATCAAGATAATCACGACGATTAGTTGCAGCTAATATAATAATTCCTTCGTTTTTTTCAAATCTAAATATCATATGTAATAAAGATAATGATTATTTTCTTTTTTCTTTCTTTTTTTTTTGTCAAATAAATTTATTTTACCCATCCATTTCTGCAAGAAGTTGATTTATTGTTTGATTAGCATATGGATGTAATTGTGAACTTGATCGTTTAGCGCCAACAGAATCAATTTCATCAATAAATATAACACATGGTGCACGAGCTTTAGCAGCAGCTATAATTTATTATTATTATGATTTATTTTCAATTAAAGATTTTTATATAAAATAAATCAAATAAACTTACTGAATAATTGACGTACACGACGAGCACCTGTACCAACAAACATTTCATCAAATTCTGAACCAGATGTATGAAAAAATGGAACAGCAGCTTCACCAGCAACAGCTCGAGCTAAGAGTGTTTTACCTAAAGACAAATTTTTATGCGTTTTACAAAACAAATAAAAAAACATCGACAAATACCGATGCCAGGTGGACCAACAAGAAGTACACCTTTAGGAAGTCGAGCACCTAATTTTGTATATTTTTCTGGTTCTTTAAGATATGCTACTATATCAATTAATTCATCTTTTGCTTCTTCAGCCTAATAAACAAAATCGAAAAAATATTTTCAATTGCAAAAAAAATTGCAATAAATTCTTTTTTTACCCCTCGAACATCAGAAAAATTAACTTTAATTTCTTCGGGATTAATTTCATATTTACTAATAGCTGAAAATGCATTTGCAAATCCACCACGAACATTATCTTAAAATAAATTTATTAAAATACAAAGATATATATATATATATATATATAAACATACCACCGCCAACAGAAGAAATAATATTTATAATAAGCATGATTAAAATACCATAAAATAATACAACACGTACAGCTTTAAATAATGATGGACGATCTTTTGATTTTGATTCACCACCAGCACCAGATGCTGCAGCATAACCTATAGAATATTTTATAATTAGAAATTAAAAACATACAATTTTTTTTTTATAAGTAATTAAATTCTAACCTTCAGCAAATGCAATTTTTACTTTCTGTTGGTCATCAATATGTGTTGTTGTTTGTAAAATATCTTGAAGACGTTTTCCATCCATATTTTGGGATGAAGAATTTCCACGACCATAATATTGCATAAACTTAAGAAAACAATTAAATTAAAACAAAAAAAAAATCAAAAACGATGTAATCAAATAATAAGATTTTACTCGATTGACAAAAGCTGTTAATGGTGGTTGATTTGGATCATTTGAATATTGGGAATGTCTTCCACTACTACCTACCGATAATCGATATCCATCAAAATCATTTGAAATTCGAGATGAGCCTGACATTGTACTAGTATTACTAGTTCCGCCAATACCGGGTGAATGTGCATGGCGTGTTTTAAATCCACGAACTTGATTATAGACTAGGCATAAGTGAGAACACAAAAGTTTTTTGTTTAATAATAAATGAAAATATTTACTTAAACTCTCAACTTTTAGTAAATCTTTATGACTGATATGTTGAGTAATACCAACTTGACATGATAGACAAGATGTTGATGGTAATGGTGCGACAGATAATTTTTGAAGTTCTTTAATATAGAAAACAAAGCAGTAATTTATTTAGAAATAAATACAAAGTGATTTATAAATAACTAGACGATAAAAACATTCAATATCTGCAAGCTGTTTTTTCTTGGTAATAGAGAACTCCTCAAAGTTTTTATTCACAAGGAACCGTCAATGGGTAACGTTTTGAATTAGTACTTTTAATTTCAATAGAGGAATATACTACTGAGGGAAAATATCCTCTCTAATGATCTCAGTCACTTTTAAGGATAAACCCGTCTTGGGTAACTATTTCTGGTTCTCGGAGACGGTACAATCGATAGAACCGAAGCTTTTACCATAGATACTTGGAAAATATTTTCCAGAGGTAACATCGGTCGCTTTCGCTGTTGGCTTTCCTAGTATTGCACTAGAATGTGGCTCTATGGAAAATCAGGACCTTTCAGAAAAATCGTAAAAATCCATTTCAAAATTTTCTTCCTCGAATACGTGTCTCCTTATTTTTAGCGCTTCATCTGTGGTATAAATGTCAGCTGAATCGGTTGTACCGTCTTCGAGAATCAGAAATGTTCAAAAAAGAAGGAAGTGCTCGCAAAGCTACATAACAGTAACTTTTAGCACATGTACTATCTTAGAAGTGTAGGACAATGAGACCAGTCTGATCTTGACTGCTTTAATTGAATAGAAATCATGATGTATAATAGCTCTTCTTACTATGAGCTGTATAACTCAAGAAAGGCACTAGATTACAACATGGTCAACCTATCATTATGTAAACTATTTGCAAATTCTGAACACTTAGATGAAACCCAATAAAATTTATAGAGTAAATACTCGCATTAAAGCACTAATTAATGATAGGCTCGCCGAATAATAAGCTTCTTCCCTTCTTACTCGTCTCATTGACCTATATTTCTAAAATATACGATAAAAATTCACATATCTAACGTTAAGAATCTCTGAAATACTTTAGACCAATAATACTAATTCTATACAATATCTATTTGACAGTTTTCTTATGAATATTTTTTATGATCTAAAGTAGGAATCAAAAGTTAAAGACAATTTTTACTTTTTAATTTTCTCCATGAAAGGTCATCACTCGATAACAACATCCAAATAGTGCTTTCAAAGTAGGACTACAAGACTGATGTGTTGAAATTTCTGCTGGATAACTTTTTCATTTATTTATGAAGTAAATCTTTTTTCTCCAGCAATCAAAAGTTTAAGGTACTCTTTCATATGTTCACCGTATTTTCAAAAAATCTTAGAAAAATATAATTTCATTTCACAAAAAAAATGCCGATCTCTTGCTTTCAAACATTTTCGTATTCGTTCAGGTGTCGATTCAACCAAATTTGATGCATAAATCTTGGTCGATATTGTTCCATTCCTCCTGAAGATGATCCTTCAGGAGCTGTTCTGAATAAATTGGTTTTGAAGCTAGGTTGAAGTCCAAAATGGATCATAACATTTCAATAGGATTAAAGTCCGAATTTTTTGGAGCTCAAGTGCGTATACTCAATTTCAATTTAGTAATTTTTCTCTTTGACGATATTCGAGGCATATTATGGAGCCAAGTCTTGTTGGAAAATCATTTTGGTCTTGTTAAGGATATGTGCGATGGATTGCTTCAATTCGTGTTGTTACACATCACAATATAATTACCGCTCATATTTCCCATGTAAATCTTGGTTGTTGTTGTACCAAAGCTCGAGATCCCACTCCAAATTCCAACCTTATCACCATCACCTGTATTGGTTTGCTCCAAACATTCAGGAAGAAGCTTTTCCTTGCCCAAATGCCATTTTTTGCAGAGATTTTTTCATTTCAAAACATAAAACGTCGATTCATCCGAAAAAATTACTTTTCGCCAGTCATCACATGTCCAGCTCGAATACTGTGTACCAAGCAACACGTTATTATCGATGTTTAGCACTTAAACACTGGTTTTTTATTTTCACCACACATTCAAGGCCAAGACTTTTGAGATATCGACGTACTGTTACTACAGAAACAGGTTTGGTAAGCTGTTGTTCAAATCTGAGATGATTTTGCTTGTACTGAGGCGGGAATCTTCATTGACTAATCATGTCAAACGACAAACCTCACGGCCAGAAATTTTTTTGGACGTTCTGAACGCTTCATATCATCATATCGACCGTGTTCTTTGAATTCCTTGATGGCATTTTATACACAACATCGTAAGACTTTGAGTTGCTTTGAGATTTGGATATGATTGAGACCAACACTCTGCAAAGCTATTATCTGGGCTAGAATAAATGGATCACTAGGCTTTTTGTTCATAAACAGTTCGAATAATAAAGATATAAGCAGGATATATTGCAAGAGCAATAAGAGAAGCCGAAAAAAAAATGTACTTGTACTTTTTTCAAGATATAGCGACGATGTCGAAAGGTACCTTATACTTTTGATCGCTGAAGAAAAAAGATTTACTTCATAAATAAATGAAGAAGCTATCCTTCAAAAATTTCAACACATCAGTCTTGTAGTCCACTCTGAAAGCTATCGAAAGCACTATTTGAATGTTGCTATCGAGTAGTCTTACATAGAGAAAATTAAAAAAATAAAAAATGCTTTAAACTTTTGATTCCCACTTTAGCTATTTATGTAACACTCTATTGTTTGTACCTTCTTTTGATATTCCATCTAATAAAGATTCAATATTAATATCAAAAGCTTGTTGTGTTGCTGCAATGACTTTTTGATCAATTTTATGCTAATAAAAAGAAAAAAAAATTCAAAATTAATATTTAATAAATCATTCATATCTAACCCTTGAATATCGTATTTGTTTTGCTTTGGTTTTTGTTGAAAATTGTTTTAATGCTTCATTTGTTATAGATTGTAAACTCTGTGGTAAATAACGTATTGATTGTATGAAAAATGAAGCACATTGAGAACAAAGCTGTAAAAATATCAATAACTATTAAGATAAATGTTCAAATCAATATTTGATTTCTCACATTTGTTGGTGTTAAAAATGAATTCATCTACAATACATAGATGTGTATATTATAAAACATATTGAATTCCTGTATATTTATTGGTTAGTGTTTGTTGAACACATAAACACCATAGGAAAAAAAAATACATATAAATAAAGAAGATGCACACACACACACACATACATGTGTAGAAATTAGAAGAGTTTATTGTTTTTTTTTTTATACACAGACTAGTTCACATAAGTTCAAGGAGATGATCAGCTTCGAATAATGCTTCATCGATTAAAGCGAATGTATCAACAACATCGGTAGGTTCATCGAGTTCAAGTAATCGATTTTCATCTTCGTCGTTGGAAATTGTTAAAGATTGAATAGGAGGTTTATTATTATTACTTGATGGAATTTGTTCAGGAGGTTTGGATGGAACTGGAGAAGAATTATTGACTACTGGTTGTACAGGCTGTTTATTAGCAACTGATGATGATGATGGTTGTCGAGGTCGTTGAGAAGGTGGTGGATGACGTGGAATCATTGGTTTTTGTTGTTGTTGTGATGGTGGTGGTGGTGGTGGTGGTGGAATATAACGTGGACGTAAAGAAAGAAGAGGCACCGGTTGACATGGCATTATAGGTGATGGTAAGGGAATTTTTGGTTTTGTTTTAGCAAGAAATTCATCAACTTCTTTTTTCCAAGTTGAATCATCCATTGATGATTTTAATGAATATGTTTTACGAGGAGATGATTTTCTTTGTGACGATGATGATGAAGATGATGATGAACGATGACGATGATGATGATGATCACGTGTTCGACGAGAATTTGATGTTGGTGAACATAGATCACCAATAGTTGTTGTTGTTGTTGTTGTTGCTGTTGCATTATGATAATGATTATTTTCTTGTTGAGAAGAAACACGTTTTGATGGTGGTGAATCATTTATTGATGATTCCGGACCTGGACGTTTACGTTCATTAGAGGATGGAGTAACAATATTACGAGTTGGTATAGATGATGATGATGGTGTATTAACCACAGATCGAGGCGATGAAATTGATTTCTTCTTAAAACGTCTAAAATTGAATATAAGCTTGATTAATTATTCAAATTCTTCTTCTGCAAGTTATGATTTACTCAATACGACTTGTTCGACGTTCACCATCTTGTGATAATTCTGTTCCTAGAATGATTCGAATGTACGATTACATCAAACGTCTCGCAAAAGAAAAAAAAACCGGCACTATGACGATATACAATAATAAATTATTGTTATTACACCTATTCCACCTCATGTCACAAAAATGAACATTAACAAAAATATAATATTGTGTATGTTGTTTTTTTTTTTTGTTAATCCCTATCTATTCTCACTTAACTCATCGAAAAAACAACAAGAGACAAAAAGAAATATAATGAGGGAAGACGAATAGAGTTTGTATAGATGTTGTTGTAAGCAATTTGATTGTTAAGAAATGGAAAGTAAGATGAATAAATGTAATGCCAATAAACGTACCCGCAGATGTCTAAAATAAAAATAAAAAGCTGTTTAACATAATCTCTGCGAGATTAAAATGTGAAACACAATGTAGTTGATCTAACTAATCACAAAAAGATTGTTTTATACTATCTATTTTGGGAAACATTTCGTTACCATCCTTTGCACTCGGCACATTTCTCAAATGACTAGAACTCATCGAATCCGGAATCGATCCGACGGACTCTAGTAACAGATGTTGCTAAGATGTCTGTGAGAGGTCTAAATTTTTACATCGATACTTCAACACTTTTCTTTTTAGATCATGTTTCATAAAAATGAAATTTATTTTGTTTATTCACTTTTTCTCCATTTGATGATGCAGAAAGAGAATTTGATGAGTTTGATATTGTTATTTTTGCTGCGGGCAAACGATCACGATTTAATCGAATTGGTTTTGTATCATTTGTTGGAGTTGTTTGTTTGGTTGACATAAATAAACGATTAGTAATCGATGGAGCTGAACAAGGAAATGAAATATCAATCACAGAATTTGCTAAAATTAAAAAAAAAAATTTTTTTTTTTGATTTATATTATTTTCGTTTTTTTATTATTATTTACTTTTTTTAATATCATTTTTTAATTGTTTAACTAAATCATCTAGATCACTATCACTATCATTATCATTTGTTATTCTCTTTGATGAATTGATTGTATCAGATGAAACAACAACTCGATTTGTTGTTCCTTGTACTATTTTTCTATTTGATGTATTTGCTGTTTCAGCAATAACAACATTTCGGTTTCCAACAATTCGTGATTGTGTTGTTGTTGTTGTAGGTTTCGTATCTTCTTGATTTTTTTCTGTAGAATCTGTAATAACATTACGATTTGTAGTTTCTATTTGTTCATTTTCTATAGGAACTGCTATACGACGTGGGATAGTTTCATTTGAAATTGTTGATGAAGATATTTCAGTAGACGTTAATGGAATTTCAATTTTTGGTGTTGAAGTTTGAGAAGAATTGATTTCTGGACTAGGTATTGAATCATTTGTTATTTGAGGTATATTATTAGAAGGAGTAGACGGAGAATTTGTTATAGTTGTTGATTTAATTGCATCTTTATTAACAAGATTTGTTGTTGATGCTAGATAATCAATAGAATAAATTTATTATAACATAATAAAATATTTATCTTACGTCGAAATGTTGATGGATTTCTTAGAGTTGGACGAGGACGTAAATGGACAAATGTACAATCAAGTTTAAGACAACCCATAGGTGTATTTTCATAAAAGCATGTTATGCCATTATTTATAGTTGAACGCTAAAAAGAAATAAAAATATAATCAATTTTAACATAAATATTTTTCTTTTTTTTTGTTAGAATATCTACTTGAACAGCACTATGACGTAATGGACAAGCCGGATCTATACAATTTCCACGTAGCCAAGCTGGACATATGACATTACATGTTAAAACTCCTGAATTATGTCGATAAGTACATCCTGAACCCTAAAAAAAAAAAAGTTCTTTTTTGATGATAAAAAAAGAAAAATAGCTTAGCTATTTACTTTTGTACAGGATGATGTGAGGAAATAGTAGCAATCTTCATTCGATTTTTGCATAATTTTACTTTATTTAAATCTAAAAGATATATTTCATCATTACCGATTTGATTTTGGGAATTGATATATTGTATATATATATATATATATGTTTACGATAACATATTCATTCATTCCTATATTTCATATACCAATGATAAATAATATTCAAATGTGGCTCCATCTTTTACTTTGAAAGTTTTATTAATTTTTTTTTTTTATAGAAAAAAATTTTCTTTTTTAGATTTATTCATTGAATAGAATAAATAAATTTGAAATTTAATTTCAATTTCAATTTCAATATCATTCATTCATGCATATATATATATATATATATATATATGTTCGTTTTTTTTATTTGCTTGTTTACATGTAATCAAAAGGTTACACTTTTTTTTTCCTTTTTCTTCTTCTTATAGATGGTTTGTACAGGTAAAAACATTTTTCTTTTTGTATTCTATTGTAACCTTTATAGGTCACTATTAATTTCTTAAAATGATTCTTTACTATTTTTTAAGATTATTGGTCGTTATTTTTTTATATGAATTTTGTTATTCTCAATATCATATATATATAAATACATATAGATCTTACTGTGATTCTGAGAGTGATTCTATTTTTTTTTCCCGTATCTTAATTGTTTTTACATTAATCAAAAAATAAAAAATGGAGTATACATATGGACAATCAAATGATTATCCACTTCGGTATGATAAATTTGTATATAGAAATATAATTTCTATTGATAAATTTTTTGTTTTTCTTTTCGATAGAATTCTTGTACCAAGTGATTCTGTTGGAGCTATTATTGGTAAACAAGGTTCAACAGTTAAACAAATAAAACAAACAGCACGTGCAAAGTAAATTATTAATATTTGATATGAAATTTTTTTTTTTCATATTAGATTTTAATTCTAGAATTGATGTCAATAAAAATGAATCATTACATAGTCAAGAACGTATGATTATTATTCGTGGTCAACAAGATAATTGTATACAAGCATGTCGTGAAATACTTCGAATTATGTATGAAGATGCAAAAAATAAAAATAAATCAAAGTAAATATAACAAAAAAAAAATATTTGTTTCTTTCTTGTTCATATATGTTATATTTTTTGTTCAAGTGAAATTATATTAAAAGTACTGGCACATAATAATTTTATTGGTCGAATTATTGGTAAAGGTGGTAATATAATAAATACAATAAAAAAAGAAACTGATACAAAGTTTGTTAGAATTATTTTAAGTTGGTTTTTGTTTTTTCGAATTAGGTTTTTTTTTTATTATTATTATTATTAGTATTACTGTTTCAAGTATAAATGAATTAAATTCATATAATACTGAACGAGTTATATCAATTAAAGGTGAATTTGATCAACAAATACGTGCATTAGAAACAATCTATATAAAATTATGTTTGGCATATGAGAATGAAAATGCTCGAGCATGGAATTATACATCACAATATTATCAACAACAACAATTTATGCAAAATTTTGCACAACATGCAGCTATGATAGCTACTGTTGGTACTAATGGTCCACCGTTATTACCTATGCATTATTCTCAACCACAACAGCAACAACAACAACAACAATCGATGATTCATCAAACAGAAACAAATAATAGTAATGGTTCTTCAAATAAATATGTTGAACAACAACAACCAAATCTAAATACAATTTATCAATCATCTTATTACGTAAGTTTGATCAATATGAATCATACATCATTCGAAAATCTGAGGTTGAGCTAGTTAATTTTAGAATCTAAGTTTAGCCTAACTTTTGTCTAGGTCAATCTTGGAGGTCACTTGAAATAATCAATTCAATCCAAGATTAACCTAATTCTTTTGGGTCAATTGAAGCTTCGTCTAGCCTATACGAACAACGAAGGAAATGTTTCTAAGTGTTAAATTGTTTTTAAGTTTGGAATCTATATGAATCATATAGGTTCTAATGAACTATGAATACTCTGAAAAGAGTTCAAGCTAATAGCTTATTACTGATATTTTAGGATAGAAGCAATTAAAACATCTGAAATTTTTACATTAAACTATTCTTATTTACTCTTTGACTGCAAGCGATGAAAATATACGTCATAATAATTTTGATGGTATATTAACACTCATAGAATCATAGGTGATATCAATTTTCGTGAAAGCATTTCTTACACACTTTTTTTAAATTGGTGTAATTTGAGTTACAAATTCTTTTATTGTGATAGTGAGCAATGCATAATAAATATAACACAATTGACTCTTATATGAAAATTTGAGATCCTCATGAGAAACGTTTCTATCTAAAAGGACATGTTAGATTGTGTTGTACTTATAAATTGTTTTTCATCTGCTTGTTGTTACTTCCTTCATTTTATACAAATTCAAGACCCAAAAAAAAACCAATGCATCTATCAGACTTTCGAGTGAATGTGATCCGATTCATCGTCGAATCTATTGAAAGTCAAAAGAATAATAAAAAAAAAAAAAAGGAAGACCATCTTTAGAAAATCCATTGAGGCTTACTGTTCGATACTTTCCTTCACTTATTCAAAGTTATTCAGCTGAAGGTACATCTGCAGAAACAAAGAGACGAAGGTGTCATGTCTGCATTAATATAACCATAAGTCCAAAAGAAAAAAGAACTGATACAAGATATGAGTGTGCTCAATGTAATGTTGGTTTATATGTTGTATCTTGTTTTGAACTGTTTTAGCAAAAAAGAAATTTTAATTTTTAAGAACCCCGTAACCAAAAGATTAAGGTTTGTCTGATAGAGAGACATGGCATTCTGCTAAAAGTAATAATCTGTCCGCTCGAATTCTTTTAGGAGAATTCATAGCTCATTAGAACCTACATAATGCGTAGAGTTCTGACTGGTATCCGGTATGAGCATCGTGGGGCACGGTCTGGGCTCGCCGTGACCGTAACCAAAAAAAGTTGATCACGCCCGACACTAGTCACGACTTAAAAGCGATTTGACACTTAGAAACATTCCCACATAAGATATTTTTATTTATCTATATCAATCTAAGGTGTGTCTAGGCTAAATTAGGATAGAATAATAAATGACTTAAATCATATGATGAAAAAAAGAATAGAATCATTCAATTGCACATTTAGATAAAATTTTACTCGATATGAGATGATGGGTGTGAATCTTCTTGCGATCTACACTCACATCCTTAGTCTTTTTCCATTCATTCACTGGATTTCACAACTGACTCATATCAAATCAATGGCATAGCATAGTAAAAAAAATAATATGAATATTAACTATATGGATAATTTTTACAAGCACTGGTTAATATTATATTCTTCTTTATCTAAACAGCTGACACCTTTGATAGCGTTTCGAACATAGAATTTTAATGCAATAATCATCGATATCTCATGTAAATCAACCAATTATACATGCAACGAGTCTATGAAAACATTCTTTATTGACTATTCATCGATAATTCCAATAAACATATATAAGTGTATTGCTTTTATTCCAGTACTAATCTTCACATTTGATTCACAGTCTCTAACTCGTATTCGTCATCTCCTTCAATTATAACATAGATCATAACTCATGCTGAAAATCCGATATGTAAAATATCTTAGTGTGAAATAGTCAAAACTTTGATTCGTCTACGATTAGAGCCCATCTGGAATCAATCTGACGAGCTCTATATACATATTTAGTAATAACCTTGAAAACATATTTTTTTAGCCAACAATGTTTCCAACATCAGGTCCATTTTATATGTCTTATCCATCATCAAATTCAATAATTGCTTCACAACCGAATCCCTATGCTAATGAAAATTTTGCTCATCAACAAGATCATATACAACTATTACAAAATGTACCTGTTGCTATTGAAACCGTTCATTTATATGTACCAAATACAGTTATTGGAGCAATTATTGGTACTAAAGGTCTTTTTATAAAAAGTATTATGAAAAATTCAAATGCAACGGTTAAAGTAAATTAATTTTTAAATTAGTTTAATAAATAAATATTCTTTGTATAGATACATCCTATTAGTCAAGATGAAGATCAAAATAAAATTATTGATCGACAAGTAACAATAACAGGAACACCTGAAGCTCAATGGAAAAGTCAATATTATATTTATGATAAAATTCGACAAGAAGGTTATATATATATGTATATATATAAATGACGACCAAAAAACATCCAAATAATTCATTTTTAGGTTATGTTGGTGATGATGAAGTTCGACTTCGAGCAGAAATATATGTACCAACATCATTAATTGGACGTTTAGTTGGCAAGGGTGGCCATAATGTAAAAGAAAATTAATTTATTATTTTTAATTAAGAAAATTTAATATCTATACAGGTCCGTCAATTACAGCAATCAACAGGTGCAATTATAAAATTACCTGAAGATTCACAACAAACATCAGCTAGTGAAGTACCTGTCAAAATCATTGGTCCTTTTCCAGCTAGTCAAGTAAAATTTTTGTTTTTTTTTTTATTTTTAGAATTTATTGAAATTTTAATATATTTAGTTTGCTCAACGACGTATACAATCCATTATACAGATGAGTCGTGATTTAACTAATATATCAAAGGATGATAGTAATAATAATAATAATAATAATAGCAGTAGTGAACAATTAAATGGTATAAGTCAAAATAATCTCAATGAAACATCGACAATGGTGAATGGAAGTATAATAAGTGATGATGCTGTTGTTGCTTCGAGTACTTTACCGAATACGGATGATAGTGTAACAACAGTAGATGATCAAAAATCGAGAGAAGAATGAAGGGAAAAAAAAACCGATAATTCGAACAAACATAGTGCAATAGAAGAAGGGCATAATAATATACAAATTTTTAAAAAAAAAAAAAAAAGCATTTTTGTGCACATGTATTTTGGCCAAAAACCTCGGTGATATTAATCTCTCTTCTTCTTCTGTTTTCTTTTTCTACTCGATGATGATCGATAAGTTGATATATGTGTGTGTGTGTTTGTTTCTTTCTTTTTTTTTTTTTTTTTTGTTAGTCTTATTGTCTTGTTTGTTTGCTGTGTGCGTGCGCGTTGGCTTTTTTTGTTTGTTCTTTGGCGACATTCGGGCGTTTCTTTTTATACTACGAATGGAAAACGCGATCTGAGGAAAAAAAAAACTATGAAAATAAAACAAAACCGAGATAATCATGTGTTTGTTTTTTTTTCTAATAGTGCAATTTTATTAAACAACAACAATAACAAAAAAAAAATAATGAAAATGTTTGATCTATTAATAAGAAAGGTGGTTTCTTGGAATAATAGATATGACGAACTTTTTTTTTATTTTGTGAAGAAACTTTGTTTGTCATTAATAGAATTGATACAAAGTTCATCTTCATAATAGTTATTGTATCTTGTCAGATGTATTGAGTAAAAGTTTACTGATGGTTCTAATATTCTTTCATATATATATATTCAGCTCGATGAGAAAGAGATAGAGTTACAACTGATAGGAATTCTTCTTTATTGGTCTGAATCGTCAGATCGGTAACACCAGCCTAATTCATTCTTTTATCTTCTCATTCTATAACAATCAAATCAAACCCTTGATTAGCCATCTCTATTTCTTGATCACTGCGATAATAGCCTAAGAGTACTGTTAGGTATGCCTTTCATTACTTATTTTCATAAGTTTTCTTTTTCTTGACTTCTATCAGTGAATAAAAAATGTCATAGAACTTTAGATTCTATATACTAGCTATTTCATGTGAGACATGACCTAGTAGTCTAGACGAATGTTCGATTTCAATCTTAGATTTGTGTAAAATTTACTTCATAGTATAGAGTATGTTGTTTTACACATGGATTCAAATTTTTAGTCTTATTAGAGATCTTCTATCTTTTCGATAGATTATCTTCGAAGAAATCGATCGAATATTATTTAAATATTTTTGTCAAATACTACCGATTAACGACAGATTAATGATATAAGCAAAAGTTTGAGATCTATAATTGAACAAAACTGATCAAAAGCTTTGCATACTGATTAAATGATTATTACATATGAACATTATTAATTATACTTTATCTATTTACCAAGTAATATTTCCTATATACATAATTTCTTATGTCTAATAGTTGCTAATGCAAATAAAACCTATGACTAATTATAATGCTAAATAATTATTTGATTTTATTTCGATAACATAACTTGATATCAATGCGAGTTAATAAAAGAAAATAAAATGTACGATAATGGATTTTCATGGAATAGAATAATTTAATGTATATCTTCTCATAAAAACAATCTTCGTCATTAGTAAAAATTATTTGATTTACGAGAAAAAAAAAGCAGACTAGATCTGCCACTGAGCAATCTTCTACTGGATCAGATCGGTTATAACTCTGATGTCGAATACAGATATGCAATTCTTATAGAACTTATCAAATAACTGATCGATGATTTAGCTGGTTAATTAGCAAGTAAATTAGTGGTTGATGCTGGTTTTCTTTCTTTCAATGACTCATTTGAATAAATCAAATGTTCTATATTGGTTACAATATGATTTATTTTGCATATACTTCTAAAGATATGTGATTGAAATTTTTTCGTTCATCAAAATAAAAGATATTCTTTGCTTGTTCTAGTATATTCTTTGAAGATTAAAGGTAAAGATATGTACAATATTGTGATATTGAACAAAAACATAAGGAAAATATTTCATAAAGCGCAAGTGTATTATCAAGTTAAGTTTAGCAAATATTAAAATTTGTTACTGAATATATTAATATGATTGAAATAATTTTTCTTGTCTACCATTTTGTACATACAATATTCTTCTTTAAATAGTAGTAATTATGCTAGTGTCAACATTATCGTCAATCAATATCATATGGAAAGATAACTTCTGTCATACTTACCCATGCTAATTTTTTAGTCCATCAATAACATTTATTCTTCATTTTATGTTAGAATTCTGTTGATTGTTAGTTGTTGTTTTTTGAAACCTTCGGATGTTTCTAGTGAAGGGTAATGTGGGTGTACATGTTGATTTTCTCTGGTTTCATGGCCATATTCTTACTGTCAAAAGGCTTTGAAATATTTAATATGTTGATGTCTTCTATGATAAACAATGTTCGATAAATACAAAAGGCGAATCTAAATGTTTGACTTATCTACTATAGAAATCATGCGTTAGCTTCCAGTGTCTAATCAATTTGAAAATATATACCGAATATTAATACAATTAATTGTTTCGTATTATTGGAATATGAATGTGAAACAATTGAGTTTTTATTTGTGAATTTTAATTACATACCTTTTTTTGTCTAGAAAAACTTTCAACTTAAAGTATTTCTAGAATATTTGACATACAAGGTCACATCCTATCAAACAAACTTATTTTTAATCGGATCATCTTACTTCAATTGACATCATATCAGATAATCTCAAGATCTAATTTATGACACTATGTCAAAAATAATAAAAAATAGAAAAATCATGACTCGAAATTATTGCAATTTTCAACTGAATGTTGAATAAAGGAGCTAGTAGAAAGTAAGTAGAATCTATATTGAATTGATTCTAATTTGTTTTGATTAAGATCATCTCATGAATTTTCGAATTCATTTTTGCTACTCATACATTCTTCTTGATATTATTTTTAAAAAAAACATGTGAAATATATGTTAGAACTGATTCGGTATATCGAGGCTTAATGGAACTTTCAGGATGTTTACGATAAATATGGAAGGCTACATGTCTGTATTCACTATTATTCTATTCTTACGAATGAAAAATGAGAAACGAATGAGAGGTAATTATCTGTTGATATATCTTTTCATTACCATCCATGTGAAGGATGAAAGAAATTAGTTTATGGCGCAAAAAAACTCATTTGTTCATAACCGGAAAGCTTATTATCATTCAATAATAAAACAGAAATGATAGTTCTTTTCTCTCTATTGTTATACATTACTTTTGATTTAATACGATTCATCTTATGATTAAAGTTTGTTTTTTTGACTTAGTTTTATTGAACGATGCTTTAGATTCAAATATCGTAAGAATTCAAATTGAGATTTTCGAATGAAAGAAGACTACTTTTGTATTTAAATTATTTCTTTTGCTTATTGTCAAAATATTGCTATGTGGTTTGTTTCATAGGTAGAACAAACTTAAACTAAGTTTAATTGAGGGTATTTCATCTAAATCAAAAATAAAAAAGATCTACTACTATAATACATCAACTAAACAAAAGATGAAATCGTCCGTGTCAGTTCTCCTCAACAATTCAATCTATGAATGCGAGAAACATTAATCATTATAGAGAGATTACCGACTTTCAACTTGAAAAGAGATTAGTTTCTTTAATCATATAGATTGCAGGATAAAACAATCGACATCAAATAAAACAACTTATAAATTAGTAATAATAAGTTTTAATTCCAGCAATTTCTTTAATATATTATTAAATATTAGTTCTGTTAATTTACATTCATGTATAAACTATTTATTCATTGTATTTCGTCATTATTTGTCTTTCAACTTCTTCGAAAAAAATTATATTTTAACCTCAATTACCTTGATTTGAGTCCAGTTCAACTTAGAAAAACATAATAAATTAATGATATTAGAACGATTAGATCTAGTATAATAACCAAAATAAATCGTAAGTCTATTAAAATGTTTACAGACATAGATCTTTAAGTTTGTTTTACATATGCATGTGTTGAGTTTTATAACGAGTCGAGTAGCATATAATGGAGCAATATATGAAGAACCAAGCCAATAAAATATTGAGTGTCTTTTTTTTTTAAATTAACTTCTATTACTATTAATAAAAATTATTGTTTCTTAATTGAATCGGGCTCATAAAAATGTTCGTCTAATTTCTTCTCTCTATAATTGTTTATAATAAACTGTAAAATTATAAAACTCTACATCTATTTATATTAAACTTGTCTTTATTATTCTCGATCAAATAGAAGGCAGAAAAAAGCCATATGCTAGAGAATTTAAATAAGATAGATACATTTATACTCCATTTTATGACTTCTCTTGTAATATAAAATTTTTATAGAATGTTCTTTTGATACGTAAGATCTATCCTGGATGATTGATATAAAGCACAATTAACAAAACAAATATTATTATTCATCGATTACTACTATCATTGCACTTGTTAGATATGTTTTCTTTTTAATTTCGGGAAAACCATTTCACAATGTCATCATAGTTCATGGATATTTAATCTCATTGAAAATCAAATCAACAAGAAATGATGATCTATTTTTTCTGGGAAATATATATATGATATCAAAAAAAAAAGAAAAAAGTCGCAGTATTGTTACAAATGTTTGTTGATTATTTTGATATGTTACTTTATTGATTTGAGTATTGACAATAATCATGAAAAACATTTTACTTAAATCAAAATTGATATCAATAAAAACAATTTTGTTCAAACATTTGCATAGCCTTCGTAATAATTACGAGTGTCATTAACACATATAATTTTTTTATTTCATTTATACCTGAACGTTATGAGTATGTGACTTGATAATTTCCTGTTATGCAACACTTAAATATATTATTTCTCTATTTATGTCTTGATTACTTTGCTAACTGTAGCTATGGTCGTTGGATAATTGAGTACATCTTGAAATGTCTAATAATGAAGTTTTGGCTCGATAAACTTTGCATAAGTAATTATTTATTGCGTGTTTTGATTTTTCTGGTTTCTTCTTATACGTCACGCAATCGATTCAACACAAAATTCAACTAAATGCAATCGACTGGAAGAGATCTATTGAACATATATATCAACTACTGTTTCGTTCTTCTCGTACATGTGATACTTATTCTCGTAATAATTATCTTTGGTTTCTGCACATATCACTATCTCGCTATTGGTGATCACAATCAGATATATGACAGCATAGTTATCAAACAATGGATCAATATATAAATGATCTACACATCATTTATTCGAGTCATCTCGTTTATTATTTATATTGTGCCTAATTGAGTTTATTACTTTCCTCTATTTGGTATTTACGACAAAGGTTACTCAACGATGAGTCAAGCATCTTGTCGTTGAAATGCTTGTCTTTGCTTCTGTATTATAGAAGTTTTACTAACACATTCTATATCTTTCTTATTGTATCATCTAACTTCTTTTGCAATCAATGACTGTTATTTCAATCTTAACAAGACAATAATCAAGCTACATATCATCTGTCAATCATTTATCAATGACAGCTGATGATTACCAATGTATATACAGATCGATTACAGTATATGAGATACATTCAAATTAGTTATATCGAACGTCCAATCATAGAGACTCAAAAGGAATGACGACTCAATATAGGAATAACAAGTTCTTCTTTTTTCATGATCAACTACTTTTAAATTCAACAATAATAAAATTGAAATATTGAATTTTTTTTCTTCATGTTTTGAAGTAGACAATTCGATTTTTGTTGTAGAAGTATTTCTGAATATTCTTCACAAATTTTTACAGCAACAAAATTTTTAATTATTTATATTATTTCGGATTTTATTCGATCTAATTTCATAAACTTTTTTTTTTCCATGTATAAATTCAATCGCCTATCGTAAATATTGTTACAACAAAAAGAAAGTTGATACTAGTACAACGCAATTTAACCATATATTTTTTTAATGATGAGTTACCTTTTCTGCTTTATCAAATAGTTATTTACATAGAAAATCATCCTGATATACCTATTGTAAACAAAAAGTAATAAAAAGATGAAACTTGGAAGTAATACAAAAAAAAAAGATTCTCTCTTGCTATAAAACATTATAAATTAATAAAACAAATTTTGTTGCGTTCATGTGTCATTTTTTTTGTCACATATTTAATATAACGTGACAATATTAAAATATTAAATTATCTTATAGAAAACGATGGAATGATATCAAAATGAATAATATTTGTCAATATTGTTCATTGAAAAATAGTCTATCATCTAATAACAAAGTATGCATCAATGAATTGTTCTTAAGATGAACTATTTGCCTAGAAGAAACGATCTTTTGTTTGCATTCACAGGTTTTCTCAAGTAGAATTTATACTTCCTGAGTCACAAGGACACAAAAAACACCATAATTAATTGAAAGAAATTATATATATAATAATATCTATACATGCTTGGTGTTTGAGAATGTATCAACGATATGATAGAAATCTTATTTGCTTTTGTTTTTGAGAAAAATATCATTTTGTTACGGTTGATTTAATATTCTCATTGGCAATGACATGTAACTAGAAAAACTCGTTACATTTTCTATTAAATAATATGTAGAGTAGATGATTTCATTGAAAGAAGAAAATAAAAAACAAAGTTTCAGATTATTTTTCAACTAATTTATTTGCTATGAATATGTTTCCAAAATAGAAAAACAAACACATCATTCCTATCACATTCGTATCGTACCTTTCAAATCATAGTAACATAATCCTCTTATTTTGTTATAATATCTTTCATATAAATATAGCTTGACGATCATCTGAAACTCATTGAAAATTTAAAAATAAAATATGAACTTGTCAATTCTAATATAAAATTGATATGATCTATATTTTCTTGTTATGTCAATGATCAAAGTTTACTAAACAAACTACTAATTCGACTTGACAATCGAAAACAAGTTTGGAATATAAACAACAATAACTATTAATAACAGTCAGCAATTTTGAGAGTATGCAGACTTTGAAACTTCAGAATAGAAAGATATTACGGTTTTCTTTTTTTTTTTCTAAAGATTATCTCTACATACCTACAGTGCTATTAATACCATGAATTCCTTCCAATCAATATGAGATATTTGAATAATGTGTAATATAAACCGATAGAATATACATAATAATTATATTTGGTTTTCGTCGATAAATAGACTTTTTTTCGTTTTGAAAATTTTCTATTGTACTCTCAAACTGGTTATTTTTTTTAAAGCTATACAAAAGCAAAAGTCGAAGATCATTGAATAATTGATTACTGAAGATTCTCAATTCATATTAAAAAACAAACGATTACAACTAACACCACCGACAAATGCACATTCAACTAAAAAAGAGAGAAAAAAAAGAATGAGACAACAACAACAAATAGTAAAAAGAATTGTGATGACTACAGCAGATCATTCGCAAATAAATATGTTTTTTTTTTTTTCATATTGTTATCATTCACACTATGCAGAATTACATATGATCTGATCGACTACAGAAAGATGGAGAAAAAAAAAAAAGAAGAACAGACATTTGTCTTACAAAATTCTCGATCAATCATTATAGTCGAAGCAGCCATTGAAATCAGTAGAGTTAATTAGAGAAAAAAAAAAGAGTTTTTTAACAGCTGAATTTTTTGTTTATATAACTGTACATTTGCTTTTTTCTGCCCATGGATTATTCTTTTTGTCCGGTGGATGAATAAGTGGATCAGCTTGTTCATTTTCTTGTATGTACCGTTTCAATCTATATAAAGTAATAAAAAACAAATATTATATAAGTAAAATCAAGAAAAAAAAGAATTTATTCATCATTAGACAATCATTTTTTTTTTTGAATGAAAAACCTATACTTTTTTTTTCTTATCTCTATTTATAATTAAATAATATTTGTGAAATGAACTGAAAGAATATGAAAACAAGGCACATATAGCATTTTTTTTTTCTACATTTTTATTTTGCAATGAAACATGAATAAAAACTTACTCTTGAAGTGTCTTCGATAATGGTACTTTTTCTACACGTAATTGATATCGTAATGATTCAATTTGTTTTTGTAATGAGCTTTTATCCATAATCGATTAGAGAAAAAATTTTTTTTTTATTTGCCGTCAATAAGTTGATTTTTTTTAAATGAGAAAAATCGAAAGTTCGATCGATAATATAAAATTATGATAGACAAATACACGCTTCCAAATAAAAAAACGACAGAGAGAAAGAAAGAGAAAAAAAAAGAGTGAGAGCACAACAACAACAAACCACTCTTGGTATATGTGTTCTGGAAAAAAAAAAGAAGAGAAGAGAATCAACCAACAGGCGACCGACCGAGCAAGCAAACGCGCAAAAAAAAACTCAGACAACATGCAGTTTATCCGCATGTGGGAGAGCGCAGGAGGAAGAGTAGACGCCAAAAGAACGAACAAGACGTGAAAAGAGGAAAAAAAAAGAAAGAAACTGACGATGCACTACTACTAAGATACACATATACCATGAACGAGTGTCGAACATTTATTTCTTTTCTTTTCTCGTCTCTTGTTATTTCCTTCTACGACTACTCGTCAAAGAATCTATTATTTCTCTTTTCTCTATATTGTTTATTGATGGTATGGTGTACTAGTTCATTTCTACTATCTTTTTTTATCTTGTTACTGTCAGCTTGATTTTTAGATTGGGACTAGGAGAATGAGAGAACGAACGAATGTTTAATAGCAATATACGTGCTGTTACCAGTTGCTTTTTTTTCTCTATAAAACATGCATTTAGAATAATCTCTCTGGATCAGATTAGACTCAAAAACGGATATCAATGTGCAAAAAAAAAACAAGAAAGAAAAACTTTGCTTACTCCATCAACGTTCTTGATAATGGAACACGATCAACTTTTAATTGTTGTCGAAGATTTTCAACTTGTTTCTGTAGTGTAATATTATCCATTAGAGAATATTAAATATTATTCACTGTGAAATCAAAATCTTAAACAGTCTATCGTTATTTTATGCTCATCTAAAATAATAATAAAAAAATTATATATTCAATAAATTTTCATAATTATATAATATAGATTTTGTTGATAAACTTAACTTATTGGCTTTAACTAGATTATTTATTTCTACATCTGCTAATTCAATGAATACGTTTGGATCTAAAATATGCGCGCATAGCATTTTATTTCAAGGCAATTTACTCACAACTTGTCTAAGGAAAAAAATTTTTCATTGATTTTCTATATATACATGCAAAAAATAGAATGTATTTGAAAAATAAATGAATACTAATAATACTCTTAAATAGATATGTCAATGTATATACATATTTTTAAAAAATAATTTTAATATCTTTATCTTACCATCATACATTTTTCTCGACAATATTTATGCATTATCATTGTCATAATGATTATACAAAAAACACAAACTGACAACCCTATTTCAATACATTCATGCATGCGACATACATACATAAAGATCGATACACAAATAAAAAATTGCCATAATATTGTGCGTAGCAGGAGCAAAAAGAAAGAGAGAGCGAAAGCAGCAGTAGAAGAAGAAGGAGAAGAAGAAGAAGAAGAAAAGAAGCGAAAAACGGCTTTTAGTTAACCCATATAGCAGTGCACCGCTACTGAAAAAGGAAAAAAGAGAGACAAAGTAATAACGAGACATGAACTAACATCTATTTCTGTAGTTATGCATGCTAGCCGAGGCAAGTCAAGAGGGTGATTGAACGTACTATTACTTAATTCTTTCTATCACTCTCTCTTTCTATTTTTTTTTTTGCTTTTCTTTTGTGACAAACATAATGCACTCGAAAAAGAAAAATCTTTATTAAATTATAAAAACTAAACAAAAAAGTTGATTCAGAATGGAAAAGAAGTAGAAAAGAAGAATTTTTTTCTTTTTCTTAAAATAAGAAAAAAAAAGCACATCATACAACTAAAAAATATCTTATTTAAATAATCATAGATCAAAATTAACTTATTCAATAATTGTTTTTGTTTTAGATCTTTTAATAGAGCATTTCTACTTTCCTTTTTATCATCATAATGACTTCATACGATATTCATTTTCGAATAATGATAATTGATAATCATTTACTTGTCAATTTTACAATGAATTGTTAAGCAAAGCTTTTGGTTCCTGATTCAATCCGATGGTGTCGAACAGAGCTATGATAGAAATAATCTATAATGTTTTATAGTTATAGATTTTGTTGCCACTCACGCAAACGTTGCCGTCATTCTCCAGATACAAATCAAAATTTATCATGCATACAAGTTCTCGTCTATTTATTCCCGTTTCATCTGCATGTTGAATTATTAATTTTCTACTTAAACATCATTTTTTTTTTACGTCTAAATAATTATCGATTTGTTTATCCCATAAAAAAACTAATTTCTAAGTATAAGTCTCATTGTGACTAGTAGTATAATCAAGGAGTAGCTCAGTTCCGTCCTCAGTGTCAACATTCTAGTTACGTCACTAACGAAAGTAAAATAATATAATGATTTTATTGAAATTGTGATTTGTTTAGCAAACAAAATTTGAAATTTTCTAATTTTGGTAGCGAAAGTAATTCATTTATTTCTTGAGAAAATCAAAAACTTCTCAACAATCAATCATCATCATTTAATGTGTTACGTTAGATACTGTATAGTCTTCAAATGAGAAACAAGAATGTTTTCGTATCTAAGTTGTCTTTGAGTATGGATTTTTGCACGTTGCAATGTTTTTCACAACTTTTATTGTAAGTTTCGAGGTGATTGATTAAACTAGTATGTATTCAGATACATTAAACATTCAGTTTTTTTGAATGCTATCAAACGGAATAATAAATTATTAGCAGTTATATTCTATGCAAATCATTCACTCTCTCTTTTAATGGATTTTGTTTTATGAATTTGCATTTATAGTTTCCTATGATTTTCTTTTATGCATGTGTGCATTTAGCAATTCGATAAAGTGTACGATGCATGATAATCCAGGGCACGCTCTTTCTGTCTCTGTTGTTATTATTCATCTCTTTCATTCTCTTTCCAACCTGAATATAAATAACTCGATCTGTATATATTTCATCAATTATTTCAAATGATCTATTTCTTTTTCTTTTCTGTTCAACGATATTTCCTTTCAAAGAACATGTAAAAATAGGGTAGGTGTGGGTGTAGATATTCTCTTCACTGCATACTCATACTTACTCATCCATCTTCAAATCATTCGCACATCAACGATTAACTGATCACTCACACAAACTGAATCATCTGGTTCAGAATCGATATGATCTTTAATCAGGTTCGAAAACACATTGAAAACCACCAAAATCCAATATCTTCAATGTTCTGGGAAACAAATTTTCAGAAACTTGGAGAAATTAAAAAAAATATCGAAATTCGATTTGTTAAGTAACAAATCATTGGCAAGATAAGATACATATGAACACATACAAGTAACTATTCAACTGTTTGTTTTTCTTCTTTCAATCAAAACAAGTAGTGCAATCACAAGAAAACAAAAAACCGGCTATTTACTACATGAATATACTGACATACTTGTGTCTTCAAAAGAGGGAATGGATAGCTTCTCACTGACCTAAGTAATAGAATATTGTTCGAGATATTCGAGAGAATAGTTGACATGACATTTTTCATGGTAGATGGAACTGGAAATGATAGTTTTCGAAAGAACTTTGAATACGTGAAAATGGTGACTTCATGGAAAAGGTCTATTAAGAATACGGTTCAAACACTCACATCTACACCCAATCCAGCTCTGTTAAGTTATAGAGCTAATTTTTGCCTTCATTTTGACATCAAGGCGAGCTTTCTAGCGTTTAAAATGACGAAGAAATCTGGGATGCACGGAAACGTAAAAACCGAAATTTTTCAGAAAAAACGTTATTTTCCTATATGAGGGTTCAGAAAAACCTATGTAATATCCTTAAATCTCATCATAAAATCAATAAACTATAGTGCATTCGAGAGTAGACACTTTGCTCTATCTAACGAGCTATAAATCACAAAATCCATACATTTGATCAAAATTAGCTTTTTCTGAGGGGAAGCTCCCTTAAGTACCGAGTCCAGCATAAAGCAACGAATATACATTCCACGAATCGTACTATAATCACCGACTTGAATGACTTCAAAGTTCCATTTAGGATCTCTAGAACACAAAAACTAGTTTGATTATTTTCATTTATACTATTTTGATTGAGCCAAATAACTCGGTAAGAATCGTTCACAGATATTTCATAAGTAGAAATATTTACGATATCAGAGAGACCATTAGTCAGTATGTC